TCTAGCATTGCAGACACTGACACTATCTCTTCTCATTCCAAGTTCATCCTCAATGCCTACAGGCTTTGAGTCCCTCTCAATGCTCATATCTCTGACCATGATCTCTGATACTTCCTTGGAAAAAGAGTTGCAGCTCTATTCCTCAATCTGCACTTCTACAGAAACTTCTGCCAGTATTGCTGAGAATTGGAGGAACAAAGAGCATGCAGCAGCCATCAAGGAGACATAAAAATCAGTGCTGGTCAACCCATTGAGGAGTCTCCTCCTAGAGCCAGCCCCCATGAAGCTGGACCAAGTACAAAAAATAATGACCAACTCTCCCACAGTGATCAAACTCAACACCTCATCCATCTACAACCAGCCCATCAACTTCTCCATTGAGAACAGTGAGAGAGAAGTGGATGATGAGGATGAGGAAGAAGCAGACAATGAGAAAATGGAGGGGGATGTTTCTCTTGACTGGGAAAAGCTTAGAGAATATGTGAAAGAAGAAACAGATGAAGAAGTATTGTTGGAGGAGATTCAATGTGAACAGGAGAAAGAATATTTAAGGTTGTATCAGGAAGAGATGAAGTTTCTATGAAGAAATGTCAATTGGCTAAGGACTCCTCTGAGGAGAGAGTATACAATTTCAGATGACATTGAAAAAAGAGACATTTTACAGTATGCAGTGACTGAATATGCCATTAAGACTTACAACTGAACACATCTTGAAGACCAACTCAGCTGGCTTCTGCCATACAAGTCAAAATACAAGATTGAGCCAATGCTATAGTCTCCATTCATCACTCCAAAATGAGCCATGTATGTGGCTCCCTTTATATAAAGTGGCACTACCAACTATATGCATTTGATGTCTTTGGTTCAAAGTTCTGCTGCCTGGCTGGCATGATCCTGACCACAGCCAAGCAGTTGACTTGATGGATTCTGCAACCCATGGGTTGGCAAAGGAAGCTGACTCCTCAGAGGACAACCACTACTGGATAAGACTGAATCTGTTATGATTTTTTAATATTTTCTTTGCTTTAACTCCTATTCATGCTTAGTTAGAGCACCTAGCCTAGTGCTTAGAAATGAGGGATTGGCTTAGTCATCACAACAAGCTGAGTCCATCACTGTCTTCTAATATATAACAACTCTTTTGTAGACAGTAGCAATATCCAAGGACAATGAGCACAAAGACTCAGACAGACACAATAAGTAGTATTATATTTATACTGATGGACCAGCAGTATATAAGTAGGCTAGCTCTTGCTGTATATCCCCAGCTTCAAGCTAAAGTTTATTTCTTGAGCCAACTGCAAAGGCCTTAGAATACAGAACCAAATGAATGCATATAGTAAACTCAGACATGACTGTATGAAAATGATACAGCATCTGTTTATCATGTGTTCAGATCATATGTTGCTTGGGCTTAACAATTAGCTTGAAGCTTATGCTTCTCTTTCCTTATGCACAATAGCATGAAGAAAACTGAATGCCACAATCAGCTACTATAATCTTTGATCTCACAGATGACTTCTTTAAACTATTAGTGGCTATCATTGAAACACTTTTAGGTTTGCTGGCAATCATACAACTTTGCCACAGATGACAATTAATCACAGCTTGGATAGTCAGGCATTACCAGACCTTCCAACAGATACAGCAGATTCTACAAAATGTCACTCTAGACCTCTCCTTCTATGACATCTCTCCCTCTGTCTGAGTCTCCTTCTAGCCTATGCTCAGACCCATACATGAAGCCAGACCTAGTGGAATGCATTCAGAGAGCACTCAAGAAGAAGAAGGACACTGGTATCCCTCCAGACTCAGCCAATCAAGCAGCAGAAACAATGACACTTGATTCAGGGGTTTTAGGAACTTATAGGTTTTGCCAGGATTCTCTCCAGTTCTGAACCATGAGGACAAGAACCTCTTCAATGACTTCTTTGATGACAAACCATCCTCTGACTATTCCACTGCCTCAATCAAGCATAGGATTGGAGATCATGCTCAAGACTCTCTTAGTGCTGCTTAGGTGGCTCCAGGATCCCAACATGTATTGCCAGACTCAGACCACAACTCTCTCTATGCTACACCAGCCAGAAGCTCTGCCTTGTCAATCCACACTGACTATAATAGTCATGGGACCATCAATCTCTGGTCAAATGATGAAAACCCACCAGAGTGATAGAATAAAAGACTTATGACTCAAGTCAATCCAAGTGGAGGGCTTTGCACCTGTCTTAGCTCTGAAAGGGGTGCACAAACAGAATATACTGAAGAACACTCCAACAACTATTATACTGCCACCATGCTTGCAGAGTGGGCCAGAGTGAAAGCTGAAGAATAAGCCAGGATGCTGCTGAGAAAGCAGCTGACTGAGGCTTTGTTGAGTATAAAGCAGCCCAGTATAATCACCAGTTTAGATGACAACAGTGTAAGCTTGAGGCCACCACTTGGGGCTCAGGCTTCTCAAGCTGGTATGGACTCCAAGACAGAACTCTGGACTCCCCTTTCAGAGAGCCCAGTATGACAGAAAGAACCAACCTCTGAGCAGGGTCAGCAGAGGCCATCATCCCTAGCAAGGCTGCCTGATGCATCACATATCCCTCTCATCCCAGAACTTCCAGTATCACTGATATCAATACTATTCTCTCCCATTCTGAATCTGTATCCAATGCCTATAGACTTCAAGTCCCCCTCAATGCTCATGTCTCTGACCACAGTCTCAGGAGATTCTTGAGAGGAAGGGTTGCAGCACTCTTTCTTAACCTCTGATATTACTGAAACTTCTGTCAGTATTGCTGAAAACTAGAGGAGCAGAGAGCATGCAGTGGCCACTAAGGAGATAATGAGATCAGTGCTGGCTGACCTCTCAAGCAGTCTCCTCCTTGAACCAACCCTAATGAGGCCAGACCAAGCACCAGAGACAGTGACCAGTTCTCCAGTGACCATCAAGCTCCTCATCCCATCTATCTACAATCAATCTGACAACTCCCTCATCAAGGAGAATGAGAATGAGGCAGACAACAAGGACAAGGACAGCAATAAGGAAGGGGAACAGAGTATCTCTCTTGGGTGGGGAAAATTTATGGAATATGCAAAAGAGGACACAGATGAAGAAGCACTGGGGGAGGAGATTCAGTGAAACAGGAAAAAGGAGTTTTTGGTGCTGTATCAAGAAGAAACAGCATTTTTATGACAGAATACTAAGTGGCTAACATCAGACTTGGGACATAAGTATATTTATGTAGATGACATAGAACAGCAGGATATTTTACAATATTCTGCCACAGAACATGCAATCTTAACATATAACAGGAAATCCCCAGAAGACCAACTTGGCAAACTTCTAGCATATCAATCAAAGTACAACATTCATCCAATGCCATGGACCTCTTTGGTAACCCCAAAGTGGGCTGTCTACATGGCACCATTCATCTGAACTGCCAGTAGTTGATACTCATACTCCTTGCCATCCACTCAAACTATAGCATCTTGGCTCATCCATAGCTGACCACAGCTGATGACTCAGAATGCTGGATTTCAAAATTCTTGGACTGACTAAAAAAGCTGACTCCTGGGAGGGCAGCCACTATCTGATGAAGCTGAAGAGAGTAGCAAGGAACCAATAAGGGATGATTCTGAGGCCATCAAATTAGGATTTACCATATGAAATAGAGTAATTGTATGCAAGAAAGTGCCCCCTATGAAGAGTCCTGTTGCAGACAACAATTCTCTACATTTATTCCAAGGACCATCAACTGAGTGGTGATGACCTCCTTTTGACCAGTGGCCCAATCCCATGGGGGTGTTACTGGAGAACACCACTGTACTCCAGTGCAAGCCCAACTTACTCTGAAGACCCTGTCTCTTCAAGGGTGCATCTGATGATATCAATCAGTTTCTGATCAATTGCAAGCAGTGCTTCAAAGTCTATATCACTTATCTTGGAACAGACATGAACAAGGTGGCCTTCACCTCATCCTACCTTGAGAACAAAGCCAAGACCTGGTGGATCCTCATCTTGCCCAATTTCTACTCCATGATCAGGCAGCACCATTGACTGCCATCCTGGCCAGTCTTCAAGCAGCTGCAGTGCCATTGGAGCAGATATATAAGACCAAGAAAAGTAGTTAGAAAGTAGATTATCTTACTAGAGATCCTTATTCCAGCAATCCTCTCACTATAGGAATACATTTCCTCTTTTTATGAGCTAGAAGATTGGTACTGTTAGCTGTTCAGGCTGAATTATACCTGTCCAACATGCTTGTGCTCCCAACCTGCTATCCAAATGGATGTGGACTAGCTTCTTCACTGTCACAGTACACTTGGGCAGATGCTCACAGTCCATTAAGTGCATGGTTTACACACCTCCCATATCCCTTACTGGATAGAAAAGATCTTGCATAGCCAGGGTATCCTCCTCTCTTTTCAGGAAGTTCCCAAGTCTTGCACTGTCTTTATTGTTGGGTGCAAGTTCAACTTGGGACCACTGCTATGGACTGGCCTGGAGAACATTACTGGTGTTTTTGGCCAGTCAATTAGGTTCATCCTCTGTGCATGTTTTCCAATTGTCCATGCATTTTATACAATTGCTGGTCTCTTACCTAGATGAGATGATGGGTTCTTCATATTCATTTTGAGACCAGTGATTTTTTTGACTTGGGTATCGGGATATTAGGGACTTCATTTTGTTCTTAGCTCTTTCATACATCTTACATCTCATAGTTACAGTTTCCTTAGTCTTGTGCTTATGCTTGCTACTTTGCATTCTTTTATCCAGCTTGTGAATCTGGTACATAACTACCATCCACCCCTCCCTAAATAGTCATCTTTCTAGGAGAGACTGGAATCTGATCAAATTCTAAACAATGCGCAGACAAAGGTGGGATGGGTCGGCTCAGTCAGACACAGATGCTGCTGCTAGATCATTTAATAGTCCTGCTACCTCTCTGCTCACTATTCTTCCCCTTGGTCATTCTCATCGCGAGCCGCAAGCACATATACACAAATCACAAATGTCTCCGAAACGTCTTTCGTTCCCCAAGACCGAGTAACTTTCGCCTTCTTCGTGGATCATTTTCCTGGGTGTTTGCCTCCACAGCCTTTTCTCGCTCCTCGCCTTCCGGAGCCTTCACCTTGACAGGACTCGCCTTCAAAAATGCATCGCCGTCACATCGTCCAGCAGAGAAGGCCATCAGGATAGTGGACGAGGACAGGTCCACAGGAAGAGTAGGTTGAATCTGGATAGGCTGGAGTTGACGCCGCCGGAAGAATCATCTGGGATGATGGGGCCAACGTAGAAGGGTGGACTTTGTGCTGGTGCGGCGGCACCAATCGTTCTCGGCTCGGGCTTCGACGTCAGGGAGCTCGACGTCGACAGCTTGGTAGGAAATCTTTTGAGATTTAGGAAGCATTCTATTTGACAAATGCTTCGCGCCCTCTCTTGGATTAGGTTCTCCTGCGAAGCTTGCGACGTTACCATTCTCTGTACATCTACCCTTCTCACACTCGAGCGAAATTGTATCTCGGAAGGGCGTACTTAGTAACGGGGGATGCACTTTACAATGTTTCTGGAATAGATACTACTGTGGAGGTTGAGCCTGAGAGTCTCGTCAACTTCCGCTCGACGCTCTCAACTCTGAGGCCCCGCCTTCTCCTGATCATACCCTCTGCATCCTGTTCCTCATCTTCCACCATTACAACTCCTAGTTTCTCTGCCCGTGGGTGCTCGTAGAACATGTCGACAGCCGATGATTCCAACAACAGTTCGGGCTGTGCGGGATCTATGAATCGTTCTGCAATACTCGCCAGCGGGTTAGCAAGTCGAAGCTGAACGAGTTCAATGGTTGTGATTCTGTGCTTCTCCCCGCTGTCCTTTGTGACTACGATCTCCCGGGAAGATAGCATGACAGAGGACGCGGTTATTACGAGGGTAAGAAGGGCATAGGTGTAGAGTATGGCTAGCACGGTTGAGAGAGGCGCCAAAGGATACCTGCTGGCGCTCCTCAGGAGAATAGCATTGCCGCCGGCGCTCACGTCGCGTTCAAGGAGAGGCGACGCGAGGCCCATTGCGGCGTAAGACATATTTCGTGAGAGAACTGTATTGAATGTGTCTGTGGGAAGGGTGAAGGAAGTCTCGAGGGTGCTTTGTAGATAGTCAACCAGATTTTCTTGATAGGCGGAGTCAAGAGCTGCAAAGAGAGCAGATGTGGTGTTGAAGTTGGATGCGACGGGTCCGTCCACAAATGCATATTGATTGCTTCCGTTGAGAGTACTGTAGGAAAGCGAAACATTGTACGCAGTCATATTGCATGTACTCATGTACCAATATGAATACGATGATCCTAACAGGGATCTCTGATACCATCCAGGTGTATCGTCTGCGGGAAAGGCGATATTATCGTTATCGTTAGACCAATAGAAGATGACGCGCGCTCCGTATGGGTTCAGGACAGAATCAAGGGGGTAACCGCCATCTAGCGACAAAGCGTTGTTTGTCAAATTGAGCATATCAATGCGGCTAGTTGCTGAGCCGTCAACGATGCTGCTAATGTTGTATGGAGGATTGAAAGAAGGACAGTAGAGTATTGGGACAGGATCGTACTGCATGGGATCAAGTAAACAGTTGACCACGGGCTGGCAATGAGCGACGAGCCCGAAAGAATTGAATGTGAGGTTGTCGACGTTGTCTGGCATGGTGCTGGGCACAAGGATTGCCACGTCGTCGATCATGACAGTCCTTGATGTGGAACTACTGTTCCCCACGACAGCAAGTCCTTCAGTGATCATACCCACGTCACCCCATCGGTTGACAGGAGCTGAAGCGGATTCGACAGCAAAGTGCGCACAGTTGCTATAATTTTGACCATCCGTCGACAAGCTCATTTGATGTATAGATACCGTAGGACCCGGACACGCAGTGAGGTTGAGCTTTGTACCCACGGCGGGCATCCATTCTGCAGCAATTTCGGTTATGGAGGTGTGGACGAAGGTACTTGCGGTAGTGTGAAGCCATAAGTCTGCGGCACTATAGGGTCATCAGTGTTTCATCGTTTTGTTTGGCCTGGTAAACGTACGATAGAAGGTGATTCAAAGCAATGGCTAGAATGAGGATAATCAAAGCGAAAACCAAGCTAGGGGGAGCTTGTGATCTTCTTTCACGCCCACGCTTGAGATACTGCACTGTCTCGTATGCGCTGCAAAGGTTCGCCGATCCACATAATTTGACAAGCAGTCCATACTGGATTGCAGTTGGCATAGACCTTGTGTGCACTTTTTCTTGCGCAAGGATCCACATTGAGGCCAGGCGATAACCAAGCAAACCTAGAAGAAATGGTACGGTGAGAGCTACCAATTGGGCCTAAAGGAGGTTTATTATTATTTGACAGGATAAACGAAGAAATAAACTTACAGAAAGAGATGATATAGCCAAACCGTACATTGTCGTATCAAGTTTCAAAGAACCATCGTCGAGCCTTTGAGGCGCTCTTGTTCCCTCTATTGCAACAACAGCATCTAGAAAGTACGGATCTTCGCGGGGTATGTGGGATTTTACGCGGCGGGATAGAAGCCATGCCAATAGTGAGGATGCAAGTCCGGCAGTGGCAGCGAAAGTAAGGATGCCCGGAATGATGACAGCGATCGATATTCTTCTTCTACGGCCATAAGAGACGCGAGTTTGAGGTTTAGAGCTCTTATGGCTATCTAGGAGGCTAACGTCTAACGAGTCGGCGGAAGATGCGGGAACGAAACGGAGGGGAGAGTAATGGGACGGAGTCATCGTGATGCTTAGGTAGAAACTTGAAAGTCTTGTATAGATTGGGACCTATGCAGTGTTGTGATTTCTTCCCCTAAAAGATGACTATCAGCAATACATCGGTGACGCCGGTCTTTATAGATATGAAAATCATCATGAGACCGTGCGTCTAGTCGAAAGACGATAATGACCCAGGATTACGAGATTGTAAAGAGCCACGCGAATAGAAGCACGTCGACGATGGTGACCACCAGAGGAACGTCTGGCGCAGACACTGAGACCTAAAATTCGAACCAATTTTTGTTGAGCTGAAGTGCGTTGTTATGGTTTATGTAACTGGCCTGATGTCGTTAAGACGGTATCAGATCTGGAATCAACTTTGCGGGATTTCATCATCAAGTAGCGATGTCCTGATTCTGAAACGTGGGCCCACAGCTTCTGTCGCTCTGGATCTTCCAGAACCTCCACTTTGACAGTGCTAGCAGATCTCGTCTCCAATAATGCACCGCCATCACATCGTTCATAGCAATATCGGCAAATGCCGACGCTTCGCTTCCTTCCACCATCATAGCGGACGCGATGTTACCTTTGCCACTGGTGCACAGGACGACCTCATCGACACGATTTTCTTAATAGAATCTGGGAATTATCTGCTCACCTCTAGCTCCAGGATACGTGTACTGCCGAGGAGTCTGCCATTCCAAGTACTGATGGTGCATTTCCATGGTCAATAGAGTGCATCACAGATATCTTTCATCCAGTGCCGTCGATGGAGCAGTTCAAATAAGGTCTTTCAGAGCGGCGTCCCTCGATACGAGATTCAAGTGGGAGATTTTAAACGTAGTGCGCCTCTTCCTGCTGATGCACCCCTTTAAGCCATTAATTCCTCAATTTCAGAAGAATCTTCTCAGCGAATGAATGTCGGCGATCTTTACGATGTTATGGAAAGCAGAACCGAGACGTCGATGTTGGACATTCAAATGAATTACGGTGCGTTCGTTCCCACTTTTATCGCATATATGCGCCGATGCATCCAATGCAATTGTTTCAGCCTCTTCTGTTTTGCCAGACCCATTCATGTTCACGGTATATTGAGGATCAGCTCCAACCAAGAAGGGGCGAGATGTGTATACTATCGAAATAAACTCGATATTTTCTTCTCATTTTTTTTTTCCTGCGTTTGAATAGACAGCATCAACCCTGTTCTGATGGAAGAACTATTTGAACTCCAGGCTCCCTACCGGACAGCGGAGAAAAGCGAGCGGATCGACAGAACACTCTGCAAAAACCACTTGTCCGTTGGATTGATAGCGCCTCGATCATGCCTTCACATTAGCCGGGATTTTTCCATGTCCTACTGACCTCGGAAAATCTTATTATCGACCGAAAACTCGCGTCTCGGTTCGCAAACCACAGAACATCTTTACTACTACTGTTCACGAGGATCATGTAGATGAAGCTCCTGGTATAGCATGGCCATTCGCGCTGATACACGCTGAGTATTACTGAAAGTGGTGAGATGTCTTTTCCGCATTTCTGATTTGGGTAGATCAGTGGCGACGACTCCCTGCGGCCCGGAAAGTACTGACAACTACTGAAAAAGCCTTCAGAATTTGGGAAAAGCACGTAATTGTGTTTCCAATCGATAACAATGATACAGGCTCCAACTCTGTTCTTCAGTTTTGTCCAGCTCGCCACGATCTCCCTGCTTTATGCGGCCCATTCGTTTCCAGTGAGTGACCTTGGATATGCTAAATGTCGAAGAATATGGGACCCCAGCCTATCCAACAACGGCCAATTCCTCTGGATGCGATTCGCGGCACCCCCCACCGGTGCGTAGTTTGTTTCCTATGTAACATTGTTCTTAAAGTACCTCTGTTCAGGCTCTTTGAAACGGCAAGTGCCCCAGACGCCAAACTATGTTAAGAGCATACAGGACACCATTGCAAGACTACCTAGATGTCTTCAAGCTGGATCTGGCCAAGGTTCCAGTAATTCTTTTCCCGTCGGCAAAAGAGAGCCTCTTGCTACGAACTCTGAAGACTATCTCTTCTTGAAGTCGGTCATGGACATGTTCAACTGGATGTTGTGGCGGTTGTTTATCTGTTTTCAGCGTGTGCATTCCCGGGCAGCCTCGATTCTCTGGTAGAATCCCCTGTCGTGGTGTGGATACATGGAGGAGGGTATGGTTCTTTATACTTTATTGAGGGATCTATCTGAGTGCGACTACAGTTACGATACCGGTGGCGGCATTGGGTTCTTTGGCACAACAGCTCTTACAATGGGAACGACCTGGTCCGTGGAGCTGGCGGCGGAGTCGTTATCATTTAGGCTTGTTTGGATTCCTGGGGGGAGAGTTGGTGAAAGCACATGGCGCATTGAATGCCGGCCTTCGTGGCTTCTGCATGTCTGCGGTTGGGCTAGCGCTGATATTTATAAGACAGTGGATCAGCAAATTTTGCGCTTCAATGGGTCCAAAAACACATGAGCTGGCTTTTTTTTTTGCTGCATTTCTTTTTCCATCGTACTTAGCGAACGCTCGAAGATCACCAAGTCCGGTGGGCATCCAAATGAGGGATAGAAGCAGACTATCACACTGGCTTGGGAGTCTTATTCATCAGGTAGGGATTCTTTTCAACGAAACAGAAAACGGCGCTCCTGCAGTGATGACCGTTACCACTTCTGAAGACATGCTCGATCGATGCTCACAAGTGTACCGACTCCGTTTCTCGCTTTTTTTTTTGCAGTTTTGGGGAAAGTGTTGGGTCTGAGATAGGACAATCAATATCTTCGTTAAAGGTCATATATTTAGTTAGGCATGTCTGATGTGTGGCCCCAAAATACTGCACATCGACCTCGGCTGACCGCCATTGGAAGTCTAAGCTGTCAACCCCTCTTCTACGTATTAAATACGCACTGCGGCAGAAAACACTGTCCACTCTCCTACGGATCTACAATGATTTGACATGCTTCCTATGGGCCTATCATGATGAAAAGTCGCTGAGCATTTGTCGAGAGAGGTACGGAAAGTTTCCGGAACGAAGTCCAGACTGCGTTTTCCGTGACCATTGACCCGTCTTCATAAAAAATGATCGAGCTAGTATATATAATGAATCAAAAAATCAAAGTGTATCTTGTTTTCCTGCACGTGAAAATGGTAGGATTGAAGAAGATGGACCCTCTCGGATTTGAACCGAGATCATAAATCACTGATGAGTTTAGTTACGATTGCGCCAAAGGGCCCTTACTTAGCATTGTCAAAATACATAACAAGACAGGTGGTGTCTATCTATTTTTGTCCAGTAATACAGCGGCTGCCGGTACAGAGAAGCCATGTTTGAGAAGATCTAGTATAACTTGTAGTGTTTCTGTGTCGAAATGGTGAGCGCCCCGACCTCTCGCTTGTCTGCCATCCTTTCTGGCGCGAACCTTTGTCTTGTTGCTCTCGAGTCATAGAGACAAAGCATCTGAAAGGTCGGATTGATTCCATAGGTTATGCTTACCGAGCAGAGAAATGTGACACACCTATTCTGACTGTCGACGTTCGGACCGCAAGGGTGGAAGCATTCCGCCATCCCATATTGTCGCCTGCATTCACTACGAGATTCATGGGCGTATTTAGTCGAGGCGGTGCACCCACCTGGCCTTCGATCCTCATGGTGCACGAGTGTTTATCGGTACGGGTAAGCTTTAGTCCAAACTACGGTGAGATTTGGGCCACATGAAAGAGGGTATTATCACATACTTTTCAGTGCACCATACATCATCCAGAAACCCTGATCCCATCCAGATGTTCATCCGAAAGCATTTAGTCTCATCCCTGCTTGTAGGTGGCAGAGAGCATAAATGCAGATAGAGGCCTATATGCAGGAAGAGGGATTTGTGGCTTCCATCCTAAAACAAAAACAGCTGTGAGAAGAAGAAACAAGGCAAAGAAAATAGAGTACGGGAGATGCTGGCGGTTTTCAATAGACAAATATACAGCTCCTGGCCATGTCTACTAGCCAGCTACGTGCTCGGGTGACAATCACATGAGCCATTCGACAACCACTATCTTCACGGCTCCCTATGCGCGAAAAGATTCATTCGCATTGGTGGAAACCGTTTAGGGCAGCGGGGCTGTCGTTATTCGCGACTGGGAGCTTGCAGCCGCCATTGAGGGAATCATAGAAACTATACTTCTGCGTAAGTGCACAGTAGTAATAGAAAAGAACCTAAATCAAACCAGTCAAGAAATGCCAGCACATTCAATTTTCCGATGCTCACTAAGAGTGATTGCCCGACAAGGAAAGGTGGAAGGATATGGGAGTAAGGAGAAACCATAACTTCAGTCTGGACTCTTTACCACGCGCCTTCTCCTTCATCGCCATCATATCTCGCAACGATACCGTTGTGACTCTTGTGAGCAGGCCACCCCATCCCTGGCCTGGAAATTGTATGCTGCCATGGACAGCACCGAGCATTGTAAAGACAAGGGCCCGTTCACTGTAGCCCTCAATCTTGCCATCACCCATCCCCGTGGCCTTCAACTTTATTGGACCTGACCCATCCAAAGACGTACAAGCATATGCGAGCGGCAAGATCACAACTGCCCCATGACGCGGCTGCCTACGAGGACGGCTGTCAATACGACGCCACCTAATGGCGGCTTTAGAATAGTCTCTTTAAAAGACGTCACTTCCTGAATTGCATACTGAGCTGTACAAGTCCAACAGACGCAGAGATGGAGTCACCATTTTAATCTCGAGCTTGAGAGATGAGGTCCTCCATGCCTGATCTTGTCGCCAGCTTCCCCTCTTCTTCACAACTGTAAAAATGCGGACTACCTGCTCTCTTCTCAAGGGCTGTAAGGCCTTCGTTATTTCTTTTCAGAGTTTCGTATGTATGTCGCATAACTTATTAATAAATTTGAACCTCGTTCCCAGTGTATCTCTTATGAGTTTTATTCGCTCTGTCGTAGCTGTCGTACGGTGGCTCTCGAAGTCGGCATCGCATCTCATCTTTCCTTGGAACTCTTGACACTATCCGACGACGCGAGAATGGTGCATGTGCAAGCATTTAAGGCTAGCAGTACTTAATTGGCGCTTTGGTGAACGGTTCAATTCCGGCTGTTCTCATGCCGGTTGCATTGTGAAACAGTGATTTTTAACACTTTTGTGACTCTAGTGAAGGGAAGGTGTATTTGAGGGAAAAAACCATAGCCGTAAGTGGGATTATAGCAGAACGAACTGAACTTCAACTTTAAATATTGTTGGAAATCCTCGGTGATGCGCAGGGTAGACTCCAGGCTGGTAAGGCCAGAAGGTATGAACTCCTTATTCTACAGCTCCTACAGAGCTTGTATTTATACTCTCCAGACTTATATCTAGAATTTACTACAACTTTCTCTTTCTCTCGAGCTTACTCATCAACTCTCGGCATGATGCCGGATTGCTCTTTCTAGAACTTTCCAGCAAAATCCCAACAAATATAAAAGATTGAACAACCGGAAGAACAGACAGAACGACAATGATCACATGATCGTCTCCACGGTGACTATCAGGCCGCACGAGGTGATCTTGGACCATCACTTCCACGCGACAGTAGAACTGTTTCAGCGTCTCTTTCTTTCTCCTTATTTCACCTTCCAATCAGAATGGCCTGTCGAAACATGATTGTGACCAATTCACTTGACTCTCCTCTTCCTTCACACCTTGGCAGTGGGCTTGCTGTCTCTTTTTGAACACTCCTGATAATTGAAGAGCTAGAAATACTATCTACACGTTCATCGCAACAATTCGTTAAATCTGATTCTCATTCAGAAGTCCTAGACATTTTGGACTTGGTGCTTTTGACTGTTTGCATGCTACAGGTTCTTAAGTGCATATCGAAGCACACTGGTATGCTATGACCGACAGTACCATTCCGGTCTCTGATAATAAGATGCTTGTGAGTGTTTATTATGGCAATTCTTATATGATGTGAGTGTAAAGAATCTGGATGTCATGCATCTAATGGTGACTTTTGCAGGGAAGAAGCTGCTTTTGTTAGACCATCTTTATAATATCAGTGATGCTCGCGTTTTTGAAAGTATGTTCAATCTGGTAGGTAATACCTGTATTATCCAAGAGCCTCAAGTACGTCGCTCCCTGCGAAGGGAAGAGTAGCGCACTGTGCTTACCTCACATTATAAACGCCCACTTCTCAGCCGACGACCAGGAAAGAGAAAATGCGAGACGATATCAACTCCTGGGGCAAGCACATTGCCGGATCTGCCACCAGCAGGATAAATACGCAGGATGGTCAAGAATAAAATTATTCTGTCTTGATTCAGAAAGCGATTCAAGTGAAAATTGCTCAATAGCTGTGCAATAACAAGTACTGGAAGGAGGGAAGAGCAAGCTTAGTCCTGACCCGGACCGGGTGATTCCAAGAGAGAACATTCACGTGATAGAAGGCGGCTTGTTATCCCCACCCGGCTTCCGTGGGTTCAAAATTCCTCCTCCATAACTGCTTTTTCAAGTTTGAACCTAACAAACCATTCTTTACTTGTGGCGAGCTCGGCGCTATGAAGTTTACATGTACTTCTCAGAACTGGTATCTTGCAGGAATTGCTTACTACTCGTACTCAGCGGCTACCCAAACTTGTCCTCTCTGAGGCTCTCCAAATTTTCTCTGGAATGCTGCTAGTGCCCGAGAAAAATGGGCCAGGTGACACTAAAAAAATACTCCGAGTCTGAACACTAGCTTGGCATGAGGTTCGAGAAACTCCGAATCGGATTTGGTCCGAATCGAGCTCTAACTCGGAAACAGTGGGCTCAAAAGGACCTGGGGTTTGAATCGGAGGTTGTATGTCTGCGCAGTATGCCAAGTGGTACTACTCAAATATCAGGCTTCCCCTTCGTGGGGGTCAAAATCTCGAAGAAGTTTCGTGAGGAGCGGAACAAGGCTTACCCGGCACTCAGGGTAGCTAGGCTCCTCTTCACTCTATCGGTCTTATCTTTGTTTCAGAAACTTTTGTTCAGCTCTTTTATCAGCTCTGTCAGGTCAACATCACCGTCCGTGATGCGACAGCCAGAAATAACACTCAACGGGACCTTGCGGAATCGAATATTCACAGCGCTTGTGAAGAAGCCACAAGCCTAAGGTCCCCGATGGAAATTTTCTTGGGTTCTTTCTTTCTTTTCACGTACCCGTCACGAACGTTGCGTGCTCCCATGTTCTCAGCGGGCACCATCAGTACGGCACTCACCGGCGAAAAGAAGTCTAGTTCTTGATGGATATTTCGGTGTTCAAGTGGCCTACGATCTACTCTGCAACCGGGACCATGCGTAGTATTTTCCGTCGTGACGGCACGCCAGGGGCCGAAGCACGAGCGAAGATGGATATGCTTTTTTTTTCTTTTGTTTTCAGCACTTGATTAATCGCAACAAGCTAACTACTAAGACATAGCGGAGATACAGGTCCTTAGGATCCTCTCTCCCTCTTGTTCGGGTCCCTCCGCTCTTCCTTCCGGGTTCCCCTGGTGTTTTGGCGTGTAATGTGGAGTAGAGTAACGGACATGTATGGTACTTTGCGCTCCCGTGGTGGGCTAATTGATTAGTTTGATTCTGCGGTTGGCCGAAGCCGTATGGACATACTGATTCCTTGTACCTTAAAGGATTCTCTCGCAAGGCATCTTGGTTACTCAATCTTCTCTTGCCTTGGCTGTTCTCAGCTATTCCGCATCATTCAATTTATGCTCTCAGTATCCCGAAAGCCTCAACTTTTTTTCACCTGGGTGAAGGGGCGACTGCTTCAGGCTTCCGTCAGGGGAACGAACCCTCAATCGGTCTTCGGCTGTCATTCTTGCCGACCTTTGCACTTTGACGCTCGTCATAAACCAGGCATTTAACTTTATGACTATTTTGGTAACCTCAAAACCCCTGTACGCAGCTTTGCAAGTTCCAAGGTTCGGTTTGTAGATAAGACCGATGCTTCTGTTCTCACCATGATTTTAATGTCTCAGCAAAGGGTTGTAAGCTTCGCAACCATTTTTTTTCAAGTTCCTTCAACCAATTGTCTGTAAGGTATAACGGCCGAAAATGGATAAAACTCGTTATTATTTGCAACAGGAGTCACAGCCACGAGCAGTTTTTGTTGGACCCACAACGTTCTAATCTTCACTATGCTTGCCTCAATGGTTAATACCGGCTCATCTGTACAACGGTGGATACTTCAAGTGGTGGACGTCCTTCATGACCAACTACTAACACAGTCAAGCAAGTAGCGCGATTTTTAACAGTGATATTCTCATAGTTCAAGTGCTCTCTGCTGTGACCTCTCCGCCGGCAATATAGATTACCGATAACCTCGTTCCAGGAGGAATCACCCAGTAAAAGCTTTGGTCACGCCGGTATTGGCAGCTTATAAACAGGAAGGTCTACTAGCATACTTCATCTTCTCGTTCACTTTTCCACATCACCTTGATATAATTGTCCTCTCCTTCGTACTCCTCTTCAATGTGCCGCCGTCGCCAGTGAGCTATATCTTAATGCTGTATCCACTTTCCCAACAACTCGATTTATAGAGTCAGGAATATCTACGTCCGATGTGGCCATGCCGTCAATCTTGTAAGTCCTCTACGCGCTAACGTATCCACTCTGCTGATCTCCGTTGACTTAGCCTGAAGAAATTGTATGATAGTGTAGCCTTAGTATCACGCATATGGAATTCCTCTCATATTTAGCCCGCTGCCCCGTTTCTAGATCCCATGCGAGGAATCCACCTGCAAGTTTAGTCTTTTTCATCCTGCGAGGTGCAAACCGCCTACTTGCCTGCGGACCTGTTGGCAATAGTAAGTCCGTCTTTTCTTGGTGTGCAGCGACTTCTTATATGATGTATTTCAGCTGTCGCTATCCTGAACAGTACTGTATGACTTAAAAATCTTCAAGATCTCTATCCTTCCTTGCTAACATTCCCCACAGCCCCCTACATCGATTCCTACTGCCCCACTTGCTGCCAGAAATCCCATGACTGCACTTATGTTCAATGCTGGGCAGAATTTTAGATGCCAGCTTGACTCTGTCATGGTAGCAGGCATCCGTGGTTGACGAATCGCAAAAAAAATTACTGCTTGATAGACATGGACGGCCCGCTCATATGTACTAGCATGTCTTCTGCGCATAACAACTTATTGTTAGAGTTGCCTCTGTGCCTGATCGACACCAAACGAGCTGATCGGATTTAGTGATTGTTAGTGGTGTTAACATTCCACCAGCTGCTCGATGCCAGACAACACACCACATGCCCGATAAATTGTAACCTAGGACCCGGAATGCCCCCTTAAAACTCGGACGAGTTACTGCAGTTGATACTCATGATATCATGTTGCTTTAATCCATTGACAAGGCTATCCTATTCATGAGCATCGTTATCCAACTTGAGCGCTAATGACCACCGAAGAGTCAAACATTGGAAGCGGTCATACGAATCAAGGTTCTGACAGTCTCATGTTGATAACACCGACATGATCGACCTCGGAAGTGCTATGATAACCGGGCTGCAACATAATTTACGCTGTGTATGTTTTGCCGACTATTGACAGTCCATGTTCCGATACTTTAATGATGGCCGGTGGCCGGAATGTTATTCAGAACACGAGTAGTCGACTACTACTATCCTATCAAATTGCTATGCCTCGCCGTACTACAGTTGTAGACAACCAAAGTCAACAAATTAATTTCTGGCCAAACTATATTTCTTGGGCCAAAACTGAGTTCGGATTCAGAAGGCCAGAAGCCAAAAGCGTTCAAAAAACACCTTCCAAAGTTTTTCCCATGACATTTTTTCGGCGCCAAAATTTTAGACTGAAAAAATGAAATGTGTGTACCCCCATTTGGCCCCTCCGAGACAGACGTCCATCACCTAATCATTTAACACAGCCTCAATGGCCATCATTGCCCTGCTGGAAACCCCGCGGTGCACTTTTTGCTGCTTCACGGCCCATTGCTTTCCCTGTGAGCTTTCTTCTATAAGCACTCATAAACCGCCGTGATCGATTGATAAATCTCCAAATGGTATCCACCAGGAAAGCATTGAAGTATTGAAGGACAAGAGCCTTTGACTCGGCAAAGGTTTTCTTTGGGATTTGATGATACTGATATTTACACCAGCCCCAATACTAAAAAGAACTTGTAAATAAATGTATAGTCTGCAGAGTAATATGAATACTTACCATTTCGATTGGCGTCACGCATAGTGGCGACGGACCGCCCCAGCCCCCCAAACGTGGGTCGTCGTTCACAGATCCCCATTTGAAACTGAGAAGGACAACTCTTATAGGACACAGCTCACTTACTGAAGCAATGTCAGGTGGGTGAGCCTCCAGGCATTATTTCATACTAAAAAAGCATTCAACTTGGTTGAAAAACGAGGTAGGTAGGTAGGTAGGTAGGTAGAATTACACGGCACAGGGGAAATTCAATTCTTGGTCGCATTTACTTGAACATTTCTTAGAAAGAGTGGTTTGATATTGGTGCTGCCATCGTGAGACAACGACTTGAATCCCAGGCAGACCCATATAATGACATATACGAATATGACTCCGACGTTCTCCATGGACACCATTGCGGCCAATCCCACTCTCGATGCCGACCTCACTTAGTATGGACCTCATACAAGATGCCCTACTCACGCTTTTGTTTCAGTCCCAGGATGCCAGAGTCCCCACGTAATAGCGTAATGCTTGAGGACCAGATCTATTTCTTCCACGTCATCCAGGAACTCGATAGTTGATATCCTGCATGCTGATGAGTCGAGGAGAAAAACTCCTGGAAAAGTAAAAATTCACCTATTCAATTCTGCCCGGTCAATGTATTGAAGCCGGATGTATCGAAGTGTAAGTGCCCGAACAGCTGTATATCCAATGCCAGTAAAACGAGTCAGAAGCGTTTCAACGGTAGAATATTGTTCTTCCCCTGGAAGGGAGACAGTGCTTGCCTGGAAGACGTATCGTTGACGTTGGACACAGAAATATAGAAGCAACGCTACCTTGAGGTTGTCAATCATAACTCGTCCAAAAGAGTCATGCAGACCAAGTATTTCATACACGATAGTTCCAAGAAGACCGTTGTCGCCAGACCGGGAGTAGTAATGCAAGAACAACTTGAGAAGAGACGAGGAGGCAGATGGTGATATCTACACGAGAACGCATTCGAAAAGTAAGAGTGTCGGAAGTGAGGGAGAGAGAAGAGGTTTCCAGTTTTGTGTTAGAAGGGGGAGCCTAAGGTCCACAGGTAAAAGATGGTACTTGCAAGCATGAAGAACAGTTCCTCCACCAGCTGACGCAAGGTGAATATATTACAGAATGCGGTAATGTATAGGACCCACTGATAGACTGACATCTGGTGGGTTGCCCAAGACAGCGCTCAACCGTTTACTTTTCCAAATTTCCATCGCTTTATTGCTTGTTATTTCAGAGAAGCCGATCTCTATATATGTCGATAGGGCATCCTTTGAGGGCCTGCCTACTGACCGATCTTTAGGCATGCAAGTTTCATCAAAATGTCTCTCACGTACCGCAATTCGCCAATATTGCGTATCACTGCCCGCCCCAAGGCTCACAATCTCCCGTCATCGTGGGATAGAGAGAGCCACTGATTGGCGAGATCATAGATGGCGGCAGCGCGAACGTACGTTGAGAGCGTTGGCACGGTCCGGTTACTCCGAGATCACGTGTCGCATTGCCGTAGATTCCCGCTTGTCCGTAGCTATAACCGAGACTATTACTATCCATCGCCGATTCCCTCTCTTGGACCTAGCGATACGGTTCCAACATTCCAATATTGATCGGGGGTGGCCAAACAGGGTGGAGACGAGCACGAGGAAGAAAGTATTAGATGTATGGATCGCTAAAATATTGCTTTTGAACTGAAGATAACTTGGAGAGTGCAGCGTCCGAGTCGTGGAACGTATTGAGGAGTCTGGAAACATAGGTCGTCCAAATTTTGTCATTACCGCCCTTGAGCGAGTACTGCTTATGAGATAATCTATCAGACCATGAAAACGAGATGCGCATCTGAGGTATTCAATTAGACAACTCGATTCCAGATCCTAAATCCTTCCGGATTTCACTCACAAGACCTAAATACGATCATGACAATAACTGAACAGGTGACCGTTTGTGTTTCAATACATGTAAACCACCGGCAGTCCCTTTCTCCTCTACTAGATCTCGCCACATCGCATCTGCATCTGTCGGAAAATTTCCCACAAGTTTCCGAGGCGTCTCAAGAGCGTAACTTCCAATCTCCTTGTCGTTTCCAGTATCAAATACAAATTCTGATGGTTTTGTATCCTGCATCCACTTGAATACATTCGCAGAATTACGCTCTTGATGCTGATCCTCATCTTCTTCTTCAGACAGATCCTCTTTTCTGCATTTGAAAGGTCTGGTACATTCAGAGGAAGAGGACACAGAGGATGTAGTGAGTGCGAGAACGCGGGAATTCGATCTCTCTGAAGCAAACAGTGGTAAATCGCAGTAACTTTCCGGCAACTCTCGACCAAAGTCTCCCGGCCGGCTCCCTTCATAGAACTTTAGTGGCACCAGAGCATATGCTCCGCGAAATAATCGTAGGAGTTTTAATGCTACAGTTAAATAGATGGGTGCTTCTATTTCATATCCGCTGTAGCGAGCAGCAAGTGCTGCCACGAAGAATGGGTTGGCTCTTGATGTCACCATGAGATCATTGAATGGGTCGGCGAAGGAGACACTTTCACCAGAGGCAGATTTGCCGAATATCGGGCCACTCAGACAAAGAGGTATTATGGTGTATTCATATTCATTTGCAAGAGGGCACACCTGGGACGCAAATTAGACACTCGCATAGAAAAAGACATTAAAGTCCACCTCATAGAAAGATATGCGGTTAGGAGCACTCCTCTTGAGGTTGCGATCGTAGCAGTCGACGGTACGGTCAAGGGTTTCTCCTGTTGGAGCCAAGAGCCAATGAGACTCTTTGAACGAATCGAGCAAAGAAGAATCCACTATAAAACATTTAGTAGCAATTAGAATGGCTGCCGGAGGGACACACACTGCAAAGTGTTATCGTCCGTCCCAAAATACACGTTGATATCACCGCGCTGAAGACCCCAGGCATATTCCAGCCCATCAAGCTAGAAAGAGTCCTTAGTAAAGGCTACCACCATAACCAAAGAGGGCTTCACTTCTCGAGCAAACGATGTGGACTGTATAAGCGGTTGAGACGCCAGAAGATACGGCGATGAGGCAGTAGATTTGAGGAATTCGAGAGGAAGGCGTTCCGGCATAGCGTTATACGAGGGAAAAGAGGCGAGAGATGGTGGGGTGGATGGCGTAGACTGACAGGATTCAAATTCAGGGACATAACGGCGACAGTTAACGGCGCCAGTCACGAGGAGACCACGATCATGTGATCCCGGCACAATATCTGGTCTGTTAAGCCAGCCGCCAGATTCGCGCTCTCGAATATCACTGGGGATTTGAGGCAAATACTTTCAACTTGCACACTCACTGTAATCTCTTAGAATGCAAGGCTGTGCTTTTATCGCAGCGATTGACTGACAGTGTCTAGTGTGTCTGGAATACCACAACATATTAGACAGAAATTATTCCATGTTCGTACCACTACAGGAGGACATCAAGACCATGTATGACTTTACACTATTACCCAATGCTGATAAATGCAAGAAGCCAGCCAAAATGGTGAGGTCCAATTTCCACTGAGAGATTGACTCTGAATGACATATCATTTAGTATTTTGATTATAAAGAAAATCCCATCCAAGTTCTATTCTTCTCCCTTGAACTGCAAAAAGCATATATTGTCTCTCATTGAACTCTACAGCAATCTGAGGAAGGATACAAGCAGACACAGGAGCGAACTGACTTTTTCTATCCTTTCGATCAACCAGAATTGCACAACCAGTTGCAGAGCCATGTCAGCCCTTTTGTCTGGTGTGGAATGCAGGGAAAAATTTGGCAAAATATGATGATAATGCCCTTGATTTGTTATCGACATCAGCTCAAGACCAGTTCGATTTCCGGTGGCTCGTGGGTTTGTATAACATGTGGAGAGATACTTCTACAGTACCTGTTGATTTCCCGAACACGACACGTTCGACGTTTCTTTAAACTCCCTTCGGAATCAGCAGATGACAACTGGGAGCTGCAAATGAAGCCCGTCACAAAACGACAAAGGACTTTGCGACGAGGTACAGGTTCTGCTGTCGATGGTCCACCCACAACCGCCGACGATGCACCCTCTCCTTCTGAAAGAGCCGCACGTCGCACAAGAAGTAAGAAAATGGCTTCCTCCGTCACTGGTCTAAGTCTTGGCCAAACTGGACGCTGAAGTCGATACTAGAAGGATCATTGGACTTGACTCTGCATACAAAATTTGTGTTATTTGTCTCAGAATATAATTGCAAATCACCATTCTGAGACTGAGTAGGAGGAGTTTGATGAAGAAGGCCCCTTTGTATGTCACGAGGATGCATCTAGGTGGGAACTGTAGGCCAAGCTTGTTAATGAGACATCTAAAATTACTTCGACGGAGCTAGGTATCGAGAACTCTCGAGGTCTAAGTGGTGGGAATATATCGAATTCCATCACTGCTCTCCAGTTGAGCTTTGTTCTGCCGGAGAAGCTCTCATGCAAGTTTGACCGCCACTCTCTTGGCGACACCGTCCGTCTGCAAAGCCGGAATGGGGGGTTTTGTGATCCAAGGGAAAGCATATATCATGATGCTCGACCGTCAGATGTGAGGTTCAAAATAATGACGTGAGCGCTAGAAACTGACGTGCAAGCAGATACAAAAGGAGCGATATCCATGGTGGTCTCGGTTCCTTGCGATTTGACATGATTTGCAACCCGCCCTATAAGCTATTTGTAGAAAACAGTCAGCATGGATGAAATATGGTTGATGTAGGATATACCGATCTATGAGCAAAACAACTTAACTTCATGGTGAAACACAAACGTATATGGTGAAATGCAAGATTATCCATAGCAATAATCTGATGACGTTGAGAATATCTCTAGAGCCAATATAGGTGTTGAGCCTCACTATGTCGCATTGAAGAAAGAGGCCTTGATTCTTTGTGGTCAACTGCTGGATCACCATGAGGAAGGCTGACCAGCGTTATCGCTGGGTTTGTGCACTAAGTCTCATCTTTGAAGTCCGGGCTATGACACGGCATCATCTTGACTTGTGCGCTGACGTCCGAACAAAAAATCACGAGCCTTTGCAAAATTTGGCTGATTTTGTCCAGGTGAAATACGACATAAGACTTTTTCCCTCATAGATTTTGTCCGGATGGAGACACGGCTTCCCTACCTATTTTGGGAGGTCCTCTTTCATGCCATCATAGGCTGACCGGGCGGTAGCAAGTGACAGTCGAGAGAAGGGTAGCGGAGGAAGACCACGACGCATTAGTTGTCAACTGCGGAAACCTGGAGTTGCATATATGCAGTCCGAGGTGCAGGAAGAAAACAATGACGGGATCGATGGCTCCCACCAAGATCAAACCAACACTGTGCCCCTAAGCAATTAGGACGAGTCAACTCTTTTCTTGTGAAAAGAACCAATGTTGGTGTAATTCGGAGTAGGTCCCGATGTTGTAAATGCCTCGCCTTCATGGCAACCCTGAGTAGAGAAGGTTGATATAGCTGGTGAGGTGCTTGATGCCTACCTTTTCCTCGACAATTCTCTTTCCATCTCCTCTGACTGGTGGCATCGAGGCAGGGAGAAGAGAAGAGGATTGATTTTTGAAAGGTGTTCAGTACTGCATATATGCACCATTACGAGGCCATGATACTGGTGGCAATCGAAGACCAAGCTGGCAATGGGTAGCATCGTCGCCAATTCCCTTTGACTTTGGCTAGAGCTTTGACGCAGGGAAGCTCGACGTAGACAGTCCGATAGGGAATGTTTTTGAGGTTTAAGGCGTATCTGCAGCATAGACTGGTTAGGTTCATGCTGCTCTTTAAAAATATATGCGTATCTGGCCCACCAGGTTATCACAGTCCCTGGGGAATCGGCTTCCTTGGTCGGAAGGTCGTACAGAATAATCAGTTTACCACAGCCGCAAGGAATGACATTCAGCTTGGGTTATATATACACAACATTTCAGGAAAGGCTTACAAAGTAGCTGGCATGAATCATCCAGTAACTGTGGTCTTTGTCATTTCCACAAAGTTAACGCGACTGTATGCTTCGTGGCCCGCTCATATTGATATCCACGTCTATTTTGTGGGATTTCGTTATCCAGATGATACGCATCACGATATGTCTGACTACTCTTCCATTTTACTGGGGCGATCATATGAAACAAATCGCATAAATGCAAGACGAAAAGTATACTTACGAGACACTCCGTGTAGCAGACATATTATCTAGGTTGACAGGTGAAAAATTCTAAGGACTTCCCTTCATGGAGAAGCCTACGACCTAGTCGGCCAGCAGTCGAGAAAAGAAAAGGGATTGAGGAAATGGCTCCTGGATATTCGAAATCAAAAACAAACGCATCTCATGATGGTCTGGATCCGCAGCCAGTGAAGATTTGAACTCAGAGAAAAAACGCAAACAATGCATGGCTCACTATTTTGGCGATAGCTTTGATGTAGATTTAGGAAGTATCTGCAACCCAAATAATCAGTTGCGAGGTGAGCCTGTGACGGAACATGCGAGTACCTCGTCCGCCCCGTTCTAGGCAAGTACACTGCTTTGGATGAGCCACTGGTACAGACTTCGCCGCGACGAGAGTGACCAGCATTCAGTCTATAATATAGAGGATAGAATTTCAGGCGGAGGTTTCTTAAAATAATGGCCTTAATGTTGATAGTATGGATGCAGAACTTTAGCGACTGGGGCTCATATCCACAGGAAGGGCATGTTGCGAGGCGGCGAAATAGTTATCAAGACAAAGTCATACACTGTGGTCTCAGCCTGCTGTCTTCTTTGCTTTTCAATGGTCCTCATCTCCACTGAACTGGCGGCAGTGAGACAACGAAAAGTGTGCTCTTAAAGACCGTCATACCTAGTCTTGGCATAGGATTGGTTGTATGCGAGAGAAACTCCACGGCTAAAAACGACGACTTCAGAGCTATCGGTTGTTACTAGCTGACAAAGATATGGCCCGTAGGGCCGTAGCACACCATTTCCGTCGAACAGTATTGCACAGAAGGTAATCGACCCCTTTCAACAATAGTGTAATCTCTTCATGGAGAAAATGTTGCTTTACGGCTGTCTTTGAAAGGAATTAGCGAGAAAACTGAGTGATTATTAGAGGACATTTCCTATAAGAGTTTCTCATACGGCTTGAAACTCTCCAAGTACCTCCCCCACCTGCCATCATTCCAACTAACGACGTCTTTCCACTCCTCACTCTCCTCCCCAACCATCCTCCTCGTGAACCACAAAAACGCACAAATCGCCGTGTCCGCGAAACACGGTTCGTTCCCCATAACAAAGTCTCCCTCGCTTCCTTCAAACCATTTGTTCATCTTCCCAAAATTCTCCTTCGCTTGTACCAACAGCTTCTCTCGCTCCTCCCCTTTTGGCATCTCAATCTTGACAGCCCCGCCGAACCTCTTCAAGAAATACGCCGCCGTCGCCTCGTTCATCTTTGTCGTTAACCCCGGAGCATAGAATGGCCGGAGGGGAGCGAACGCATCGACAACTGCACTGGAGAAAGCGAGTTGGAGAGTCATCGTCCCAGTGGGGATGAGAATGGGCCCGGAGTCGGGGTAGGTCTTGTCGAGATAAGCCGCTATAGCGGGAGAATCGGAGACGACGGTTCCAGTAGAGTCATCTTGGATGATGGGGATCGTGTAGAAGGGAGATACACCATCCGGCTTCGTCGTGGTGGGAGCGGCACCGATCTTTTTGGCTAGAGCCTCGACATCGGGGAGCTCGACGTAGACAGTGCGGTAGGGCAGACTTTTGAGATTTAGAGCATACCTGTAATATTGCCTGGTTAGCTTCGACCCGCGCCTTGAAGATATACACATACCTGGTCCGCCAGGTCATCATAGTTCCCGGCGAATCGGCTGCTTTGGTCGGAAGATCGTAGAGAGTAATCATGCTAAGAGTTTATCACAACTGTAAGGAATGTCATTCAGTTCAGGTTATATACATGCATCACTTCATACAAGGCTTACTAAGTAGCTGGTATGAATCATCCAGTGGCTAAGGCTCTTTGTCATTTCCACGACGTTAATGCGGATGTATGCTTCGTGGCCGCTCGAGCGGCCACGTCTCGAGCGGCTCTACGCCGTCGAAGACCGTGGATGAGAAAGCTGCGGGATTTCGTTGTCCAGATGATACACATCACAATATGGCTGTACTCTTCCAGTTTAAATAGACATAGGACCAAGCCAAAGTTACGATATCAGATAGACGTTGCTTTCCGTCAGAGACCAACGGTATTGAGGAGCTCGTGTCGTAGCTGGTGGTATTTCGGTGCAATCCCTCAAGTTAGGATGATTTACTTGCCACTGTGTCAGCGTAGCGCCTGTATTATCCGTGATATTCAATACGCATTGTAAAAGGGAAGGTAACATACTTAAATAGCTTTGCATCTTCCAAGTGCTTAGAGAAATCCACAACCGTCTGCTAGTGGTCGAGAAAAGGGAAGATGGGGCGTGATCAACCTGGCCGCTTGAAGACTAAGGCAACCGCATCTCATATTGATCGCATGCTGGTCTTGCGAAGATCTGAGAGTGAGAGACGAAGGGAAGAAGACGTGTAACGCACGCATCTGCAAGGCTTCCCAACCAACATCCTTGTCTCCCGATCGCGCTCCAGCTCAGTGCAGTGGTCATTGACGTTGACCTTTTTTCTGATACTCGAAGTCGCCGATGTCCGCGCCGATTTGTAATCCGCTTTGGCTCTGGGCTACGCCGCATCCCCGCTTGATGTTACAGAGTGTGCCATGCCCTGTGTATAATAATGACTTTCCCTAACACAGAAGAAAAATAACACTCTTTACCTGAACACGAACGAGCCGTGATCCAATGCTGACCGCCCAGCTCCAACAATATCCTCGGCGACGTTCATAACGGGGATGAGTGCTGAACGCTGTGGTATTAGTGTTGGTGTGGTTTGGTGCCGGTGGTGGTGAAAAGTTTAAGTGCAGGACTGCGTACATCCGGTTAATGTCGGATATCGGTCCGCCTTTACCGGCTACATCCGAACCATGCTGAAGCTTGGCACGCGATCTCGGCATCAAACTAGTTCTTCAGACTGGTATTTCCAGGAATGGCGTATCTGTCCGGGTGTGCTTCTCATTTCAGGTTAGTGGATGAGCTGTACCCCTGGATTTCCTTTGCATATCTGCGCCAAAGTAGCTGTATTTTCTGTCTATACATCTATACATAGGCTGATTAACAAAAATAGTGGTATGACTTTGCTACCGAGCGCCCACGTCTGCTCGTGGATGACTGAGTCATTGCTCTACATAGCCTGTCTTTCCTCATCAGTGGGACGTATCTATTGTTCTTGTTACACTACTTTCAATGACAGACATGGATTATTTGCTCAGTACTGGGTCTTGAATTATATTCCATAAACAGAACGACGATTCCTGTCGGGCTTCCTGGGGCGCCGTAAATTTCCCGACAGGTTTTAATACGAACCCACCGAACCAATCTCTTCTCCCTTAGCTCTTTTCTGTGCCATATATGATTAAAGCATTGCCAAACTGCCAGTAAACAGCACCCGAAATCTTCCATTTTCAGGTACTATGCTATTTGTGCTCCCGCATCTTCGAGCTATACCCAGCCACCGAGTCATAACAACAGTTTCAAGATAGTGTGCCATGATGAGTCGTCTTAACTAAAACTATCAGCGCTATACCCTGGGTTGCTTTCCTGATTCCTGTCCATGTTTTCTCATACTCATGGAATTGCTTGCCTACCATGGGATATGCTTGGCCATTCTCCCAGCTGGATGGACTCCAAATGGGCTCCATACTCTCTTGGACTAAAGTGTAATAGCCCGAGTAACAGAAATGCCTTTGGAGGCAAACGTCTAAGGGTTTCCGATGTCCCGCATACGTACTCTCAAAAGTCTACCAATACAACGTCGGCCATAAAGGATTGGAGGCTATCCATAAATAAATAGACCACTGACATTGGCCGATAAATAGAGCATCATTCCCATCTTCTCAGCTGCATTCAACCCCCACATTCAACCCTCAATACATGTACAATGTGCCGCCGTCGTCAGTAAGCAGATCCTCACCACCGCGCATCTGCCCTAATCGCTTCTGTACAGAGTCAGGAACATCTACCTCCGATGCGGCCATTCCATAACCCTCGTATGCCTTTTCTCTTCCACCATACCAACCTTTATTCACCACCACAAACGTAGCCAGAACAAATCGTATGACAAATACTACATCATCTTAATCAAAACTGTGACCATGCCTAGATTCAATGCGAGGAGTCTACCTGCAAGTTCAGTATCTTCCATCCTGAGAGCTGCAAACCACCGGGTTGTCTGAAGACCTGTTGGCAGTAGTATGTCCGAGTTTGTCACTGGCTCACCTTCACCTCACCCCCCCATTTTCCAGCCGTCGTTATCCGGAGCAGTATTGTATGTCTTGTGACTTTCCTGCTTTTTTTTTTGTTTTTTTAAAAAAATTTCCTGACATCCATGATAGGCCCCCACATCAATGGGAATTGCCCCTCCTGCGACCGGGCAATGCGGCGATACAAACGCCGCCGCTAAAGAAGATTCTATCATGACAATCATTAGTTATATGTAGAGTATAAAGTTTATAAAACCGGTATATGAAAGTTACGCTGACTTATTCAGACCCTAGACATCCAGCTCGACCCGAAGCCTAGCAGTTATTTCGCCACTTCAAGTTAACACTGGTCCGGACCCCGTAAAATAGTAGATGTTAGATAGCATGTCTGACAATGTCACTGTGGTGCATTGATAGCCATCGCCATAAGGAATACGTATTCACCGTGACTGTTTTGTGTCGTGAACCACTTAGCGGACCCTGATCAGCATCAAGATTCAATTGAGTCGATCAGATCATCATCCCGCTACCACCGCCTATGCCGGACGACGTCGCAAGCTGCGGCAGGACCCCGGAGTGGACCCCACGAATCCATATCTCCGGTTTCTAAAACTTTGGGCGTTTCGTCCGAAAGGCAAATGAGTGACGTTGACTCATTCTGTCCGAATTCGTGCCTGGGGGATACACCTCGCCTCAATCAGACTGCATGCGAACAATCCGGGCTCCGATACATAACGGAAGGCTGGTTGTTACCATAGAGGAGGACAGCTGGACACACGGTGATGTCACAGGAGTGCGTGGTATTCGAGTGGTCGCCGGCTCCCCTCAAAGAGAAGGGGTTGAAACTGGAGTCTGAACTTGAAGAACAGTCGACAACATGGAAAATATCGCGTCATGGTTGTCTTTGAAAGAATTGGCGGAAAATCGAGTGGTTATTCGAGGATCCTTTCTACGACAGTTTCTCATCCATTATCTCCACGAAATGATCTTACCAATCAGCCACGTAGAGGAATGAGAGATGTATGCAGGCCAGTAAGTACTCTGATACATAACGGAAAAGTGTCACCATAGAGAGAACAGCTGGGCACGATGGAGGAGTGCGTGGTAATCGAATGGTCGCAGGCAGCACAACAGAGCGAAGCTGGACAGGCGAGACTCGACGACAAGGAAAATATCGCGTCAGGCTTGTCTTTAAGAGTGCCTGCATCTGAACCAAGTGATTATTCAAGGTCCAATAATGGCTTCCTGATGAATCTGGATCTAATCTTCTTAGTTCTTTACGCAAAAAGAAAGATGAAGTTCCTCCAAGAATGGACATTCACAGATTCGAACTGAGGTCATTCGCTACTTGAATGTAGTACGCAATGAAACAGCTACACCAAAAGCCGTGATAGGTGCACCGCTCCGATATATTTCGTCGCTCATAATGTGGTCAAGAGAAATAACGCAGAGAGTACAGAGAACTTGAACACAACAATAAAACACAGACTCGTCAAACACGAACGGAAAGCGATCTTTCCCAACAATGGCGGAATTTCCTCATAAAGAAAATGTGGCTCGATGGCTGCCTTTGAAAGAATCTGCGAATGAAACTGAGTAGTTCTTTGACACTCTTTTCTACAAGTTTCTCATACGGCTTGAAACTCTCCAGATACCTTCCCCATCTGCCATCATTCCAACTAACGACGTCTTTCCACTCCTCACTCTCCTCCCCAACCATCCTCCTCGTGAACCACAAAAATGCACAAATCGCCGTGTCCGCGAAATACGGTTCGTTCCCCATAACAAAGTTCCCCTCGCTTCCTTCGAACCATTTGTTCATCTTCCCAAGGTTCTCCTTCGCTTGTACTAACAGCTTCTCCCGCTCCTCCCCTTTTGGCATCTCAACCTTGACAGCCCGGCCCTGCCTCGTCTTCAAGAAACACGCCGCCGTCCCCTCGTTCATGTTTGTCGTTATTCCCGGAGCGTAGAATGGCCGGGGGGGAGCGAAAGCATCGATTACTGCGCTTAAGAAGGCGAGTTGGAGTCATCGTCCCAGTGAGGATGAGAACGGGCCCGGAGGAGGGGTAGGTCTTGTCGAGATAAGCCGCTATAGCGGGAGAGTCGGAGACGACGGCACCAGTAGAGTCATCTTGGATGATTGGGATCGTGTAGAAGGGAGAGACACCATCGGATTTCGTCCTGGTCGGAGCGGCACCGACCCTTTTGGCTAGAGCTTCGACGTCGGGAAGTTCGACGCAGACAGTCCGATAGGGCAGGTTTTTCAGGTTTAGGGCGTACCTGCAGCATTGACTGGTGAGTTTATGATGCGCCTGTAGGGAGATATACGCGTACTTGGTCCGCCAGGTATTCAGAGTCCCTGGGGAATTGAAGTCCTTGGTTGGAAGGTCGAACAGAGTAATCATGCTTGGACTGCAGTTAATGCCATTCAGCTCGAGTTATATACACACAGTAGTTCGGAAGATGCTTACTCAGATGAATCATCCAGCTGATACAGTCTGTCATTTCAGCGAAGTTAATGCGGATATATGCTTCGTAGCCGCTCGATGATATTCATGTCCACGCCGACCAAGACCGTGGAGGATAAACGTGTGGGATTTCGTCGTCCAGAATATATGCATTACGTGTTTGCTGATTACTCTTTCGTTTTACGGGGTAAACGCAAGAGAAAATCCATGGTAGAACTGGGCCCTACAAATCAGGTGCGCCCTTGATCATCACCAAATCATGGCCAATTGTCTGGCAAGGTCGTCACCAGGACTGTATCGATTCTATGCATCACCGGGGCGGAGCTTGCACAATAATCTTTGTTCTTTGAGGTAACAGCCTTGATGTCGTGCGGCCTGGCATTGGTATCCACATCTGCGTCAAATCACATCGAAAAGAGCGTGATATGGGGTAGCGAAATGCATTCTGGGAACAGCTCGTATAGTACGTCGTGGAAACAGAAGACTGGCCACGTCTCTGCCGGCTGTCCCTTTGATTGGCGGGTGTGAAGTGGCGACAAGTGTGTGCTTAGAGAATAACGTATCCTATAAGCCAGTTTTACTATAGGATTCGCAGATTTCAAGAGAAAAGATGGTTACGCACCCGAAGTCCTGTATTATGTCTCATTAAGACACTGTAATATGAGTCGCGCTACGGTATCGAACGAAGCCCAACTACGGTAATGGGTAGGATCGTCAATGATGTCGGTAGCGGTTGCAGCCTGCTTATTGGTCACAGAGCACCAGTCAGATTGTATGGTCTTTTCATAGCCGAGTCGATCGTTGTAGATGCTAGCAGGGGTTATTATTATACGAAAGAGGGCTAGATGCAACGAGCTACACCCATAAGACTGAAAGAATGAAAAGATGAGATTAACGTACATATCTGCAGGTCTGTCCAACTAGCATCCTGCTCTGACTGCCGCATCGCGGTAGATATTCACCGCTCCTACACCTGAGAGTACCGAGAAAATACCAGCTCCTGTGAAACCATTCGAGGCGATTTTCGTGTACTTTTCGGTGGCGAGCGGTGGGAGTGATGACAAAAGACACGCATCGGTCTTCCGGACCGTGTTCCGTGCCTGCTCTTCAACATAAGGGCATCGGTCAGGTGGAGCTGGCACGATGGTCTTTATTATTTTTTTTCAAACTAACGGCTTCGAGATTGGGACGTATGTGGCACTTTCTGATGATGATCATGTCGAATGGCATCAAAAAGAAGCGAGGCATCAAGTTCCAAGACCAGGTCGTGTGTAGTAGATTGCGGAGGCGGAAGAATGGTCGCATTACGTTGGCTGGTCAGACATCTTTTCCTCTTCATTTTTCAAAGGTCTTCATCCCCTTTGATTGACGGAGATAAATCTTTGAGATCGTCGCACCCTAGAGGCCAGTCTTGAATGAGATTCACGGTCTGCGAAGATATAAAACAGTTACGCACCGGTTCCTTTTCCTTCCAACACGCAAGTCCTGCATGGATGAGGCCTAAGGATCGTCCCGCTACGACATCGAGCAAAGCCCAAGCATGGCAATGTAGTGTCATGAATTCGTCTTTCCTGCATCGTCCATGAGATTCATCCTGCAGAGCCAAAGGTGATGCACTGAGTATGCCTTCGCGAGAGATTTGTTTGCTACGAGCAACTGAAAACCAAAAACCCTGTATATACCCTTTAGATACGTACCGGAAGAACGGAAACAAATTAAACGCGTACCTTGGTCCATTGCGGTGGACGTGTAAAGCGAGGTTGATGCTGCGCCACAAAATTAGACACTAGGTCTGAGCAGAGTTTCGTTTGACCAGCTGACAATTGGGGTTCGAGTACCAGTATGAGAAGACCACAAAGACCAACTCTTAGCAAAATCTTGAGAAGAACGGTCTTATCCGTGTTAGGTATCCCGATGGCAAGCCACAGTCAAGGAGGTAAATCGAGCACAGGAAAATTTTATCATACTTGCATCAAGCAATGATTGACGTCAAACTATGAGAGAGCGCTCAACCTGAGCACTTGATATGGGGAGAAGAAAGATGTATCCGCTGTGGTTTGCCAGCCGTCCGAAAAGAAAACAAAGGCTCATGTCTTCAGGGCTCGTGATTTGTAATTTGTACAACGACCGCGAATCGAAAGTCAACCTGCCAGATTCCAATATGAACTCATCTCACAACATGAAGGACTCAGAGGTGCCAGTGTCTGAGATCAGGGACTGGACGTACATTCTAGTGAGCCACGATCGCATATACGGAGGAGTCGTTATTGATTGCCACATCGCAGCTCAGCGTCTTTGGGTTCGAAAACACTGTAGCTTTTAGGGAAAGGGCCATGGAGACTCCACTAAATGAGCGGGATAAGATCCTGTTTGCTTGTGAAGAGATTTTGGTGAGTACTCATTCACTGTTACAGAAACTAGGAAACTCATTGATAGCAGGATAACCATTTGAAGGTCGTTGAAAAGTTATGGCCTGGAGGAACAAGATTGATACCGTAACGAGCGACATGCCACCTATCCATCCATTCGATGTGCACAGGCATACACTCTCGATCTCGAATGATAATTCATATGTTCCGGGCGAGGCTCCAGATGATGCGCCGATCCTCAACCCTAACGTCTGGGTGAGATGGTACCTGCTCCGTGGCAAGCAGCGCAACGATGATAGGAAAGAGTCGGTGGAACGAACGCCACTCTGGCGCACCATAAACCACGACCGATATGACGAGCCCAATGACTGGGCGGACTTCATGCGCGGCAAGAGGGACAAGAAGACCCAGCACCATCGCGCCAGCCGCGATGAACCAACAAACGTCATATATGACAATACGACATCAGTCAGCCCATCGGGGTTGACGACGACGATGCCAGACCTTTCCCACTCTCCACCTCTGCCCCACCACCGGCACCAGGCAGATCCAATCTCTCCGACATTGGAGGATCCCTCTCCATCGTGACCACTGGATACCGGAGCTGGCTCAGTCCCCCGTGCTGAAACAGGGGTTCAGATATTGATGCATCTGTCTATCTGCAGAGAAAGAATTGGGAAAAGCAGCATCCAAAAGTGAAGCAAAGGCAGTAGCTATGCTTTCTATTCAGTTTTTCACAACAATGAGAATGGTGTCTCACCGACCTTGATAATTCTAGGATCATGAGCAAGATTCATTACATCGGTACGTATCGGGTGATGCTCCAAAAGCAGGTCTTTCCATCGGTAGCGGGCGCACTAGGGTAAGAATTACTGAGGTCGTTCTCGCCATGGTAAGGATTAACAATGACGAGTTCTGCTGTGGTGGAAGGAAGGTCCGTATGGCGTCACATAGTCACGGCCTTCCTTGCTCCCGACGTTCACGAATAATCCCATCCCGCTCAATACTAATACGTTTGAGGCCTATTGTGTCTCCCTTACAGACCACGACGACATTGAAGAGCCTGTATGGTGTCCCGCTTCATACTGGCTTCGTTGACCAGCGAAATCGTTCTGGTTCCCGTAGATCTGTCTCGTTCTCCTGGACCCTTCCATCTTGGCGTTGGCAAGAATACAAAGCGTGAATTTGTTAGCTGGACGATGATAATGTTACCGTTAATCCCCCCAAAAAACCCGGTGCGTCGTGATGTAACTTCCATTTCAATCCTCTCTCAAGCTTTCTTCAGGTCTCGAGACAACTCTTTTGGGAGACAGTGGATGTTTTCTCACTGGAAAGCTCAGTATAGATTCGACGACAACGGACAATCACAATGACAATTGCCGAGGGTATCGTAATACCACCATGAAGGAACCAAGATCGGTATATATGGATTAGCCTAAGATTCAACTACACTTCCTTAGGATTTCGTATCTCGTCGATCTCGATATGTGCGCTCGTAACCCCCGTGCGACGTGCTGGACCCAAAGAGCGAAGGTCGAGCAATGAAGAATAGATCAACTGTGACGCGACTTCCCGGTGCGTCATTCGTCCAGTCATTCTTTACAGCCTGTCATGACATGTTTCTCTAGGTCTCCCAACGTTTGACAACAGAATCCAAGACGCGCGACCAGGCCTCAGTTACAGCGTCCAAGTGCCTCCATCATCTTCATCAACCGTACACGCGTACTCTAATGCACCCTGGGGCTCTGACGAGGTCACCGTTGATGATGCGTGAGTTGAAATAGCATCTTTGCAAATAGAATTAAAATTCATACAGGAATTCGTAGATCGTTCCGCTCCGTATATGCGCTTTCAAGTACAACGCAGATGCATTATGTATGTGCCCTGGGTTTGCCCTCGGACGAGCGAGCGTCCAAGTATTCCTCAAAGAAAACAAGCCGGACAGGTGAACCTTCGGGACTCTTGAGCCCAAACTCCCATCTGAATGCGATTTTGCAGAGCACACCTGATAATCGCGTTGGATGAGAGACATTTGCAGAGGCGTTCAAAGACGCATACGTGTGCTTCACCTACTTTGGACGTGCCGGATCTCCTGATACCATCAATTCTGGCTCTGCTTTTGCAGCGTTCATCCGTGCCATGGCATGACAACGCTCCTCTGGACATCCCATCACCGACATCCTCCTTCCTCTTCTCATTGTCCCAAAGACCTGGCTGCACGTCGAGGCTTTAATGTCGACTAACTGCCGCTAGAGAAATATCACCGCTCAGGGGTCTTTATCTCAATCAAGGACAAGCTGAATGCCGAGAGGGAGAATCATACTATCAACGCAGAAACACTTAGAGTTTGGGTCAACAAGGACGGGGATGTTGATGTGCCTTATGTTGCCATCTTGATGCAACTTGGTATCATCGGGAAGCGTCCGACGACACCAACGCCAGAGCTATCGACGACACCGATGGATCGAGAACCACCGACTGAAAACAACGGACACGTCCTCGAGAGTTGATATACCCACTTCCCGTACTAAGAGTCGGCCCGAGAGGAAGGCCAAAAAAGCTAGCGAGGCACACCCCCGGTATACGATCATAATATCTGGTTGTTCACCCTCGGTCTACAAAGTAATCAAGGAGGACGAAAAGTTCAAATACACTGGGATGCTAGCTTCCAGGGGGATAATCTACGAGCATCCATATCGTCAACCCGCATCTCTTCGTCTTCTCAGAAATATGAAGCCGTTTTGGAGCCTTGGTCCAGAGTAATTTGATTGGGTTTCTGGTCTCCCCAGTGTTGGCGTCGCCCCAGAACCTAGGGAGATGCCAAGGATCACGTATGACAATAAGGCGGTGATTATTGAAGGGCCTTATGCTGGTGATATGGATACTGAGCTAGATCTTAATTAGCTATGCTTTGTATTATTCATCTCTGTTTTATGCTTTTGTGTTAACCAGCTGCGATGTGGGCAATCACCCTCTCTAGCTTTCTTGAACAGTGTGTATTATTTGTAAGTTGGACACGGAGATGCTGACGGAGGGCATCGACGACGCGATCAGGGAAGGATTTGACAAGCTTTCAAAGGAAAGCCTGGATTTGGCTCGTCTTCAGCTTCCATCAAATGCCGTCGTCGTGCTAGCCTTCCTTCCGGAATCACAATTCGAACATTTATCGTGCCATCAAGGAGGACGGAGCAGAACTGAGGGAATCACATTCTGTGGGGAAATCTTACTCTGGCTGAGGTACCGCTTCCAGGAGGGAGGGAGGGAGGAAACCTACGACTGTGGGTCGGCTGGAAATGTGGGTGATTGTATGATGATCACAAGCTAGTGCTGACTTCGTCAGTAAACCCATCCGTAGATTACAAGCCTTTACTTTATCAATTGTACAACTTTTTGCTACCGCTGAGATTATTAAGACCCAAGGTCGGATCCGCATCGTTCAAGTGGATCTCGGACTCCTGAGCTATGAAGACGACAGCGCTCGAGCTGGCTGACTACTACTCCTCCGTTTCCCCGAGATAAAGAAACCATGCGTTCAACAAACAAAGCAGACATACGATATACAGTTCAAGAGGGCTCCGAATAGACAGTGCAGAATGATACCACTGGCAGTGATGAATCATTCAACATGAGGATTATAACCATCAGTAAACTACAATACAGGAAAAGCGTACTTTATCAAAAAAACATCAGCTCATAAAAACTCGTCTTGAAGATCAGCACAGGGTCATTTAGACGCTCGCGATATCACTCTTCTCATCAACAACTCCGCGAGGTTCCACATCGTTCAAACCCTGCGCAGGGAACTTCTTCAAGAGAACTTTGAACACCTGCGCCATGATGCAGAGCGTGAGGACAAAGGCGCTGAGGATACGAAGATGAGTCCAAATAACGAGAAAGGAACCAATGTCAGGCTACTCACGTTGTCGTAGCGAATCCTTGGACATATCGAGGGCCAGTTGAAGAAGGCCAGAGGAAGGAACCATAGATAGACGCACTAGACGGAACGGTGAGTATCACCGGTGAAAAAAAAAAAGTCGCCCAGAGCACGTACGAATTTCCGAGACCGTTCACCAACGCGATCGCAACCGCACGTTTTTCCGCAGGGTGGTCAATAACACTAGAGACCCACTAAAAGAAAAAAAGTACAATCAGCCTATGGTGGGAGAGAATCTTGCAAGAAGAGACTCACCAGCAACGTCAAAGGACAAGCCGCATACACACTCCCCACAGCGAAGCACAGGAACGCATACTTGACCTTCTTAGCATTAACAGCCACCACAACAATAAAACTGATCCCCGCAATCAGTGCCGTGAGGCTGACATAATTCCCTCGCTCCTTCTTGATGTCGCTGAGGAAGCAGAAACCCAAGATGCAGAAGAACGCAACCACGTAGATGGGGATAGTCATGTACTGCTTCGAGTAGCCGCTATAACCAAGCTGGCCAACGAGGGTGGGGACGAAGTACTGGATGGTCTGCGAGCCGGTAGCGAGCATGTACATGATGGAGAGGTACCAGGTGCGCCAGTCTGTCAATGCCATTTTGAGGCACTCCTTATGCGTGGGTTCATTGCCTACGGCTACGCCGCCGATGCCGTCCTGCTTGAGGCGCTGAACGGCAATGAACTAAGGGATGGTTGGGTTAGACGGGGGAGGATGGGTTGGGAGGTATGATGAGCCTCACTTTTTCCTCGGCGGTTAGCCATTTTGTAGTCATCGGCCAATCGGGGAGGATCATCCAGGTGAAGAGCGCTGGAGATGGACATGTTGAGCCGCCGAATACACAGCCAGATTTTGCTAGCTAACATACCCAAGAAGCACGAGCCAAGGCCCTCGATCAAGAATAGCCATTGCCATCCTTCAACACCACGAGCGATGGCGAGGTTGTCGGTAATGACACCTGCGAGTAGTCCAGAAAAGGCACCCTAGAAGTATGTAAGCAAAAAAATTACAAACGACCGATGTCGAAGATACACACCGAAACGGCCGTAGCAGTGTAGTAGATGGAATAGCGCTTGGCGAGCTCATGGCGCTTGTACCATGACGAAAGGTAGAATGCAACTCCGGGAGCGAAACCGGCTTCAATGACACCCAAGCAGAAACGAACGCCAGCTAATTGTTGCCAGTTCTTGATCGCAGCCATACACGATGCGACACCACCCCACAAAAAGCACAGCACAGATAAGCTAAAGAAGACGCGAGTCGTATCCTTGTAACGCGTGCAAAAGGTACGGAAGACTCACTAGACCGATGGACGGACACGGGTGAGAATCATGTTTGCAGGAATTTCAAAGATGACATAGGAAACCTAGGAGGAAAGCATTGAACATGCCTCCGATCTTGGTAATGGCAAAGTGACGACGTACAAAGAAGAGAAGCAGGACGACGGAGTACTGGTTAGACGTGAGTCCCAAAGAGGTTTCCAGACCTCCGACTTTCGCGTTGGCGATGTTCGCGCGGTCGAGATACGAAAGCGTGTACAGGATCCACACAGTCGGCACCTATATAACAAGTTAGTCCAACGCCTCAAAAAGGCACGCCAACATACAATTCTCATATCAATCTTGCGTATAAGCCTCTTCTCCGCGTCGCTCCCTGGTATATAGTTGAACTGCGACGTCTCCTCGTGCCATTCTTGATCCGTTTTTGGCGCCATGAAGAATGTGGGGTATTCGTGGGGTCGGTGTGGGGAAAATGAAAAATGAGCGGTGACTTTATAGCGTGTGCCGATCATCTTTTCTTTTTCCTGGCGCCCCTGAAGGAATTATATCTATCCGGGGTGGGCGATCTAATACAGTGCAGGTGATCACCGCGCAGACGTTTTATCCCGGAAGGGTACCTGAGAATTCGGCAGAGCTGCGAGAATGAGTAGTATTCAGAGACATTAGGTGGTGGTGCCTGCTATTGTTGGATACGCGTGAAGAGAGATGAAGCATGGATAAAAGACAAGAGACGAGTGCTGCTGAGTCTTGAAAGAGCCAAAATGAATCTCGTTCGCGCTATGGTTGGGTGTAATAAGATGCCCCGGAACTCACGGTCAGCGACGGTGAAAGGAGAATATCGAGATCGAGATCCGGAAGGCTAGAGCGAATATTCTTCTATCCATACTTCCGGCGCGGGCCAATTGGCGAAAAATCAACGCTTCGTACGGCCAAGTGACTTGTCAACTGATGATATGGCCCTACATAGAGGGAAAGAGACACGTAAACAACCGCCGACATTTTTAAGAAGGATGATCTTACGGTCATCAAAGAGCAACTCCCACAGAAAATCACAGCACTCCTGCTAGGCCATCTAACTAGAACCGGTTTTACAGCCATTTGCTCAACAGAAAATTATAGCATGATAGTTTGACGACCGGGACCGAGACCGAAAGAGTTCATCCGAAGTTTGATAGAACAGAAATTTCCAAGCTGTGTTGCATACAAAAGCGTATATAGAATGCGAATATCTTGGCACAGGCTTGGAATCTGCAGATGAATTGATCAGGTGGGCAGTGATGAGGAAATGAACGTACCCTTGACCAATTTACTCGCCAGCTCGACTTTCCTCGCTACGCTTTTGCAACGTCCGGGCCCCGGCTCTTCCAACAGAAGTTTCTCTTGTCTATTGTTCTCCTCACTTAGAGGCAGAGACAGCGAAGCGAGTATCCTATACGCGACCCCACATCGCAAAACCTGTACAACTCGAAAAGGTCGGCCAGCTGGAGATTATCCGTACATTGTGCGCATCACAAACTGGGAAGAAAAGACCGCAAAATTTTGGCGTGGTCTGGGATGATGAGACAGAGCAGGTTGGAGGACGACCATGAGGGCCTTGGCGACGACCCGGACATCCGTGGGGTCCATCGTTCGCAACGGCGAAGAGATAAGAGTAACAAGTGCTGGTGCACATGCTAGGTAACTGTTACCGAAGGCGGCTTCAGCCAAACAGCTGTAAATCCCTCTCCTTCCCCGACGTCCCGAAACGCCAACTGGCGAATGCGTAGTACAGCTGTTTCTCGAGGACGTGCTGTATATGGTCGTTTCGTATGCACGATAGGAAATTATTTGTAGTGGGGCCAAGCTAGACCCCCGACGCTCAGGTAACGAAGTGACCTTGACCTACAGCCCGATGCTCAACCGAGTGAATAATCCTCTGCTACGTCTGCCTCTGAGTCAGGTATTCGAAATTCCACGGTCCACGGAAGTGCGCATGCATTGGCATACTGCTCTCTTTCCTTGAACTATCTCTGAAACTTGGATGTATGCAATTTACCTTCGCAAGTCTTCTGCTAGACGGTTCCAACCCCCAGCTTGCTTCGCTATTCAGTATTCGCCCATACATGGGATGGTTGCAAAAATGCGCTTCTGGGTGAGATGAGATCGTAGCCGCTGCAATAGGCGGTCTCCCTATTTGCTTGCAACGACCTTGTCCGGTACGCTCCGATCTGGTGCAGCACTCGAGCTGTGCTTTGCAATTGTTTCTGTGTGCATATCTGAAACGTAGAAGGGACGGTAATCATCTTATGGTGAGGACCTAGGCGTTCTGCTGTCTCTGTGAAAGCAAATGACTTGTAGGGTGCCTCCTCTGGCGAAAGAACTGTATGCCGGGAAGAGCTCCCATATGTGTGTTCTGTATCCGGAATGATGCCTTAATATGGGGGGACGTCGGCGAAAAAACGTATTTCGACAGCCTTGCGAGAGACTCTCGCAGCCTTGGAACCATGAACCATGGACGTAGCCCTTGTCATTGTACAGATTTCGCATGTCTGAGGGGTCGCCAATGTAGTTTGCTCCATTCTGTTGGCGATGGCACGCAGGCGTACGAAAACCATCCCCCCCATGATCATATGGGGGCGGCATGTTGGAATCGGTGATTGAAGTACGTAGGTCTTGAAAAGCCTCCATGGCTGGTTCGAATGGCTGAGAAGCGAGAACAGTAGACGACTCCATCGGACCACGACGTCCTTGTGGCAGATCAGGCAGAAGCGTTCCAGCTACCAGCGGCATCTCAGAGCCGTTGAAGCCACCTGCCCTTCTCTGGGCAAGCTTGAGTCGCAGTACCATGGTGCGTAACGAAACCTGGAAAGCTGAGTAGGCTGTGCTGAGATCGAACCAGCCACAGAAGTAAAATTGAGGTGGAATGACTTGGAAACGTTGACGACCCTACGCATGCCAGCGAGAAATATCATGCATAAAATGCCAGTAATGGGCGCCAGTGATCGGGGGCGAGTTACCGATGTTCTGAAGTGTTTGAGGACGTTCCGGGCATTGAGCGGTGTTCATGAGGATTAACGATCATTGAGGGAGGAAATGGATGTCGATGTCTTTGGATGAGAGCATTGACCAGCGCCATGTTGGCCGCCGTTGGGGTGGGAGGTGGGAGGTAGCTTATCTGACGGTGGTTGAAGACAAGACCGCCATCAAAACAAGGGTGATGCTCACCTAAGGCAGCCCTCTTCGCCTCGTCTAATCCCAAAAGCTTCTTGTCCGTCGACTAGTCGACGCGATGGCCTAAGCCGTGTAGAAGAGGTGCTAAACGCACACCTGAGTAAGTGATGTTTGTGATGGTTGGTGGTAAGTGTCTGTCGGGAATTTCGAGTCCGTCGAGAAACGAGAGCGTCTTCAATTTCGTGCAGTGAGAAGGTCGCGGATGAGGCGATCAATAAAGAGCCAGTGACGACTAACAAAGGGAAAGCATTGCCTCCTCTTTGACTTGCCACCTGGATAGGAATTGGCGTCTTGAAACGAGGTATGTGGCACGTTTTCTGTTGTCTTGGGACAAAATACACAAAGTATTGACTATTATCATTTTCTCTATTACAGTGGTACAGCTCTACTTGAATACACCTCAATCCTACAAGCTACGCAGACATAACAGCCAGACTGAGTGCCGTCTACCCCGTCGACGTCGTGGTAAAAAGCTAAATGTCGAAGCACAAAGGTCACGTGATTAGAATATCTCCTGGCTCGAGCCGGCGCCTTCCCAATTCCTACTCAAGTCCATGTCATTTCAGACAATCACAGGAACAGGCACTGGAGAAATCGGAGCTACGCCACATTTTGAATTGGGGTCAATACTTTATCTCGACTTTGCTTTCGAGCAGTCCGCCGACGCGCACCTGCATTTCCGTAAACCTCAGTGCGTCTGATATCAAGACATATCAGGTTTAATTCATTGTTGCGAGTCAGGGAAGGATCGACAAGGCTACATGATGCTACCGTTGAATCGCTTCAACCTACGGCTTCCCTGAGAAAGGCCATGTTGTTTTCACCATGTGGCCGCTGCTGGAATTCTATCCTATCGATGAAATCGGCGCCACGGGCTTCAGAAATTTGATTTCTTAACCATTATTTGGAAAGAGTGTGCCGTTATATTGTGGGATTACGTCGAACAGGTGGAACATGCGCGCTGATTGTCATGATGTCTCAACCTGCAGTCTTCCTGGGCTCTATCGATTTGTCCTGCTAGCATCTGGACTCCCGGCTCCTCGTCGAGGTCCTAATCGCGGCCGTAAGCCAATAAATGCCATTCTTGTCACTGGGCAAAGGTCTTCGTTATCGTGTGAGGCTGTTCGAAAGGACGACGCAAATTAACCCCAAATTCTGCGGGTCCGGGGTTAATTTACGTCTTCCTTTCGAACAGCTTCACATGATAACCGGGCACAGGCCTTGTTCCAGGTCTATGGTTTACGGAGATAAAGGTTATCTTTATTCGCCTGTGCACGGACCTGGAAAAATTCGCCGATTCCGACATAATTGACAGATAACCACGCATAAGATGAGGTCAAATTGGGGGGGAAATATGAACCTTAAAATTCGTCTCTCACCCCATCATCCTCCTTAGCCACACCCCCTTCCTTCCTTTATACTTCCTCGTCCTCAGTCCAATGAAGGTCAGTCCGGGATCGATTTGGAGCGCTTGCATAGTTATTTACCCCCGCCGTATTACTATAGAGCAAACAATCATCCAACCCTCGGCCCTTTGGGTGCGACACTTGCGAAAAAAGCTTTGGACGTGACGCTGAACTCCAGCGCCACAAAAAGCTCCATTTCGTTGGAGAGGCTCGGAAGGAAGTGTAAGGAGTTTTCTGTCTCTGAAATTTCTGCGGTAGGAGTAACCTTCGATTCGTACCAGCATAATTCAGTGTCCTTCCTATCCTACTTGCACGGTCGAAGACGTCCAAAAGGCGAACATAGTGTCGCACATAAAGAGAAAGCAGTACGTCGAATCTCTGTGTACTGACAACCCCACTCACCGATATATATCTTCAGTCCAGAACTTCTTGATCTTATATGCACCCTCTGCAAGAAATCCCTGTATTTAGCGAAGGACATCGCGGCTCTTGCGCAGCATCAAAAGGACGTCCATAGCGTCTTTCAGGCGCCTCTCGAAGGACTAGAATCTTCACCTCCCCTTGCTCCGCCCTCCGCAGTCGACAGCTCACCTGCCCCATCGACCTCTTTCCCATTATCGCTCGTCCGAGAGCATGATGTATCCCGCTCTCCTTCGCCGCAGGATAATCCAGTTTCCGCCTCCTCGCCGACCGTGACATCCCTTCCCGAAGAACTTGGGCGTCTTCTTCTTCACAACGGCCCAGAGGAATACCAACTCGCGGCGATCAGGCCTAGCGGCCCGTTTGCCTGGCACCCAGATAATATGTCTAATGTGCCTACAATTGCGACTGTCTACGACGTCCTTTCGGATGACTATCGCAATAAGAGACCAGATCTATTTGCACCGCCACCCTCGCTTTATGGCGGAAGCCTGAGCGCGACTGTCGTCAGTCCAGTACCTGTCGTAGCAGTGAACTTCCAGTCGCTAGCTCAGAGCCCTCCTACTCCCCCTCCTACTCTTCCTACCCCCCCTCCAAGTCCCTTGCCCGCCGCCAGGTCTTCCTCCCAGCGCAACCGGTCTCCGACCTCCTTGCGGTGGGTCGTTACGTCTCAGCCTTCGCCTCCGACAGTCACGAACGACTCGCGATTTTGCGTCCGGTGGCTGGGAGACAACGTTGTCTCTCTTCGTTACGATTCGGAGATCTTGCCCACGCCCTAAATCGATGTCGACGAGTCAGGATCCCAGAATACAACAACTCGCTAAACAGATCGGTTTTTTTCCTTTACAGGCTTACATACACGACGTTGCCTTATCTCAATTGCTGTCTGTTACGTTCAGTTTTCATTAGCTTTTCTTATGTTTTCTGCGATTTATCGCATCGCTTCAATCTCCCTTTTTCATTGCTTCCTTGTTATCGTCTTCCCACCTCGGACTGCACTCGATCGCACAGGCTTTCGTGCTTGATACCTTGTTCTAAAAAATTCTTTGTTGCTGTCCTTGTTACGCTGTAGTTCCCTGATCCAAATTTAGTACAACGTTTTCTGCCACCCGTCTGAATACTGCCTTGTTATATATCAATTTTGCTATCATTCTGTATTGCGATCTGTACCTGTCGCTGTGAAAATGAGATCATTTGCAAAAATTTCAACTTAAATCATTGTTCCTGCACCAAAAGGACACACGATAACATGCCCTCGCTTGAGGATTGAACATGCCTTTAGGTCCTGTCCATTCTTGATCGCATATGTCCGTGGAAATTTCATCTGATGCAGGACCAGCACTTAATAGATGTTCATCCAAGGACACACAGCTTGGCTCGTCCGGAGAATCGACGTTCCAGGCAGAAGGCAATGAATTACTCTGGACAATGGGATATTGTAGTCGGCAGACCAGGTGGGGCGTGACGAAAATTTCTACTACATCTCAACGTATTGTTTTCTATGGATTTACAGGACTACCAGCCCGAGGTTCCCAGGTAACGAGATGAGAAAAGTAAGAAATAGGGCTAGGGAATGACAGTCGCTCACGTAGCTGACATACATTACCTCAGAGTTGTGAAGGTGGAAGAGAAGATGGTGTGAAGAAGACCCGAACCGAGACATCTTCTGCCAGTTTGAATTTGAATCTGAACTTGCGACGCTCTTTAAGATTCTCGTTGAAACTTGAATAGCATCCAATTCGCATTCGAACATGCTGATGGCTGATTCCTTGCATTCGAGAACCGTACTTTTTACAAAATAGAAGTTACACTAATTCAAACTGGCTTAACTGTACGTTTTTCTTCGGAAATGGAGTACTGAACGAGCACTTTGACCGCATGGATAAATGACGGTTGTTTCGATTGCCTGCGAGCCTTCCCTCTTTAACGAACTCTTCGATTCAATGTCTAATGGACAATGGATGGAGTGGATCGTGTATCTGTCATCATTTTCTTTATCTTATAGTTGCAGATCTCCAAACTCGTTGCAGTCGGATGGCACGATGAAAGCCCTACTTTTTGGATCCTCGCACTCCGGTATACATTGGCGCTTAAAGGAGATAATGTATCTCCGACATGCTATAGCTCTTTCACCCTATATGTCTCTTCTGCTGACGGTACTGCATGCAAGTAATCTCAGCCATGAGCATCAGCGAACTGTTGATGAGCTACCAACCAGAAAGAAGAATGTACGGTCGGTTCCCTGAAGTGTGACATGATGCTCTCCAGTCACTCAGAATCGTCCTTAGGAGCTCTCGGACGGCTGTTTCGATGACTGAGTATCTACCACAAAACTGATAAGAGGTCACGACATACGGCTTCCAGTGGGGAGACAGAGGCGATGAGCGAAAAGGAGACGAAGGAGACGGACGCCGCTTGTGCCGTTGTGACTTGCGGAGATAGAGGGGAATGGCTGGGAGAGGGGAAAGGTTGTCGTATATGCTGCTTCCAACGTCCCGGCCGGCCCACTGAATTCTTTTGCTGGCCATGTTATTAGAGGGAGGGGTGAAAGTGGTGGTATGTCGGCCCTTAGTCGTCTTCAGTCTGTTTCTATGCGCACAAATTGTCTCGGCACCGCAAGGTGAAACAAGGCGTGTGCACCCTATAAGTAGAAGAGATCATTCGGCGGGGTGAGCATGATATCCCAATCCGATCTGACACGCTCCTAGAATTCCTCCAGAAAGACTAGAAAGTTCGGTTATGGTAGGCCCTCCTGCGAGCGAACTTACGTCGAGGATATCCCGGTGATCCGAATTAGCAGAGATTGTAGACAGGTAAAGCAAGTGCGCACCGGCCGACACCTACACGAAATGTGCCGCCGTCGACTGAATCTGCTCTAGTCTCAGATCATCGCTTCTTTACAGAGTCAGGAATGTCTATCTCCAATGTGGCCATAGTTTCAGCCTCGTATGCTCTTTCCATTCCAATGTACCGATTACCGATCTTTACTAAGTGCAGCAAACTTAGCCTGAAGAAATTGTACGACGAACACTATTCATCTCTGCCCTCACATTTAAAACGTATCATGGATTCAATGCGAGGAGGCTAACTACAAGTTTAGTCTCTTCCATTCTGCGAGGTGCAAAGCACCGACTTGTCTGCGGACCTGTTGGCAACAGTTAGTCTTTACTGGCCCTCCTGTTGAGGGTACGAGCCGTGACCGCAGGTACAGTCATACGGACTCCAAATTAGTTACCGGTTCTAGAGATTTTCACTGTTAGCATAGCCACACATCTTAGCGACTTACTGCCTGCTAAGATGTGAGTACATTACATCTATTTATACTGTATCTTACTGATCCATAGTAGATACATCTATTTTCTTGCTTCAGGCTAATCCTCATTGCCCTTGTGTCACTGCCATGTCCTCTCAGATTCTCAGGTCCACTGCTCAACAGGTTATGGGCCCTGATAACATGTCTTCATCAACCTCTACTATCAAACTCCTCAATCTGCCCCACCTAAAAGATGATGGCACAAACTACATCTTATACAAGGAACAGATCCCAAATGTGGCCATCTCAAAAGGGCTTAGATGAGTCTTGTATGGAACTGCTAAGAAGCCTATAGAGATAACAGAGACAGATGGAGACTATTACCTACCAGGAAATCTTATACTCTTATTTGAAAATGAAGTTGAAAAGCAACTGACCCTTCAGGATGCATATGACCAGAAGGAGGCACAGATCCACAAGATGATGTATGAAACCGTCAGCACCTTGATCTTCATGCAGATTAAAAATAAACCCTCTGCTGCTGTAATGTGGAAGAAGCTCACTTCCATCTTTGAAGAAAAGGTGTTTTGACATAGCAAAACCTACTCAACAAGCTTCAAAATCAACACTGTCCTGATGATGGAGACATCTGAATCCACCTTACCAATATGTCTAGAATGAGAGAAGAACTCACTGCAATGAGGAGATCTATAAGTGATGACTCTTATGCCACCTACATCTGAACATCACTCCTGATAAGCTACAGACCCACACTCAAGATACTTGACATTGCCTCATAGATGATTGGCAAGCCTGTATCAAGTAGCCTTCTGATTTAGTGGATCCAAGAGACTGCTGATCAAAGACAGGTGGAGAAGAACATTGATGAGTCTGTACAGAACTTGGCAATGTTCTTGAGCAACAATACAGAGAAAGAAAAGGGTGAAGAAAAGGCTACTGGAAAAAGAGAGATGAAAGGGAGCAACAATGGCCTGCACTGCAACAACTGTGGCCATGACAACTATGTTGAGAGGGACTGCTATAGAGAGGGAGGATGCAAAACAGGGCAAGTGCTATGGGACAAGGCTAAAAAGACAGCCCAAGCCAACACAGCAGAGAAGGCAGATGATAAAACACCTGTAAACCATGGATTTGCAGCCATTCTAGACACTAAAGTGTTACAATTTTTCATCTTCTTATTTGTTTTAACCCCTATTTATACTTAAGGCATCTGTATCAGCACTTAGGATTGTGAGACTAGCTTAGTTATCACAACTAGCCAAGTCTGTTATTGTTCTCTGATGCAATGACAACCCTCGATGATGCACAATGACTCTTTTGTAGATAGCAACAACAACCAAAGACAATGAGCACAAAGGCTCATACAGACACAATAGGTAGTATTATATTTATCTCAATAGACAAGTAGTATATAAGTAGGCTAGCTCTTGCTGGTATAACTCCAGCTTTGAGCTAAAGTTTATTCATACTATTTCACTCTTGAGCCTTTTATCAAGTGTTAAGCCTAAATTCCATGTGACTATCAACACATGATAAACAGTTCAGAACCTTGCACTTCAGGTTAGACTGACTGAGTTCACTGATGTGTCAATAGAGTTGTGTAGTCAAGGTGTTGCAAGTAGCTTGAGATAAGATAGTGGAGAATAAACTTTAGCTTAATGCTGCAGCTACTACAGTGAAAACTGTACTACTTAAATACTGTTCTGTTATCTGGCTATAAATAAATATTCACAAAAGATATTGTCTGTTATTGAGCTGTTACCCCTGCTGTTGCCAGGCTCTCCACAAAAGCTGTTGTCTTGCTGTTGTGCTGTTACTGCTGCACCACAGTTTGAGAACAAAAGGAGCATTGTCTCTCTCTTCATAGCACACAGCAGCATAATAAGATCATGACTGACTGGGTTGCTGACTAAGCCTTCCCACAGTCCTAAGTGCTGGCCTTAGTGCTCTGACTAAGTGAAGATAGGGGTCATTTCCAAGGAAAAAGAAAAGAAAATAGGAAAAATCATAACATTACTCCCTCCTTAAGACCATTATCCTGATGGCTAATTTAGGGATAAGTCTCCTGGTCTATTTGTGATGTTGGCATCCACAGTCCTTTCTAGTCCACCAGATGGTGGATGCTCTGGTCCTGATTGCTGCACCATTTCTGGCTCATCCATCACAGTGTCAGTATCTCCATCCTCTATAACCTGTGTTGTATTAGCAGGTATTGATGGAAGCTCCTCCTTAATGTCGACATTGCTCTTTGCTGTATGTTCTCTGCTGATGGTAGGTCAATATATTTTCTCAGAAGTAATGTTGAATATGACCCTCTCTGCATCTACCTTGTTGATTCATTGTTTATAGTCATAGATGGCCTTCTTCATGTTCATATATTTTTTGTTCATCTATTGGTTTGATTCTGGTCTGTACCCCTTTCAGCTGACTAGATAGTCAATAGTTGTTTCCATGTCTCTGTCTCATGCTTTAACCTTTTATGTTTTATAGTTTAGCACTTTATCAATTTCATAGTGTTCTTCATCATTGACTAGCTGTGGTGGCAGTGGAGGTGGTCGTTTCTGGTTTGGAAAGGTGAGTGTGATGTATAGTGTTAATAATGTTTCATTGAAAACATTATGAACTTTCTAAATTGCTGAAAGTTGCAATTTATATATGGAGTTGCCAATTTTCACAATGATTTTGAATGGTCCTGTTTATTTGTCTGCCAGCTTTTGTTTGGGTAGAGAAAGGTGTAGGTTTGTTGTATCCAGCCAAACCTTATTGTTGACTGAATATTCATGGGCTGGTCTATGATGTTTGTTGTACTGTTTCTTCATAGTTAAAGCAGTCTTTTCGAGTGCTGCTTTTGTTTCCTCATGGATTTTTGCCATGGTTGTGGCAAAGTCTATTGATGCTGGGGTTGTTGTTCATGCCCATTCCTTTTGTGCAACTGGTGGGTTTTGTCTATAGTTGACAAAGAATGGTGTCTTGCCAGTTGCTGAGTGAACCCTGTTATTGTGTTGAAAAGCAGCTAATGACAGCCATTTGGTCCAATTGTCTTGTCAGTAATTTATAAAAAGTCGAAGATACTTTTTAATTTCTTGGTTCACCTGTTCCATTTGGCCAACCATCTGAGGATGATATGCTGTTAAGACATTTCACTTGATGTTGAGGAGTTGGTACAAATTGTCCAAAAATTTGGATATGAATTGTGATCCTCTGTCTGAAATCACTACTTGAGGCATGCCATACTTTGCATAAACCTCATCTTGTAGTATTTTGGCCCATCTTTCTGATGTCAATTCTGTTGAATGGGTGATCAGAATGATCACCTTTAAGAAGTGATCAACTATAACAATGATTGCATTATAGCTGTCACTTTTGGGAAGTTCGATTATCATATCCACTGAGATGTGGATCTATGGTGATGAAGGGACCTCATTTGGGTGGAGTGGAGCTGCTCTGGGTTGTGTTGAAGTCTTGCCTCATTGGCAAACCTCACAAGCTTTGACATATCAGATGATATCATAATCTATCTTAGGCCACTAATACTCTCTCAAGACTAATTCTTTTGTTTTAGTGATTCTGGGATGTCCAGCAGTTGCATGATTATGACAGGTGGCAATAATATCACCATAAAGTCTCTGATCCCTTGGGATATAGATCCGTTTATCATATCAGATCAATCCCCCTTCTTTCTTCAGGCCCTGCTCATGGTTGAGTGATGGGGCAATCCTTTGATCCCACTTGTGGGGATCCCTGATAGTGCTCTTGATTCATTCATGCATCTTCTCTTCTATGGGCATGATCATAGCATGGAAGTGTTCTGATTGTAGGAGTATGACTTTCTTATTATCATCTTCTTCCTGATTGTGGTTGGCTCTCCAGCTGAGAAAATCAGCCTTCTTGTTTGCTGCACCAGCCTTATAGTGTAGCATGTACTTATATTTGGATAGTTCCATGACCCATTGGGCTTGTCAGCAATTTAATTTCTGTGGGAGTCAGAAGTATCAGAGATTCTGATGATCCATCCAGATCTCAAAGGTCTGGACCACTCCAATGAGGTAATACCACTATTCAGTGAGGGTGAGCATTATAGCAAGGAGTTTCTTATCATAGATTTTATAGTTGTGCTCAGTAACAGTAAGCACCTTCGATATAAAGACAACTAGTCACCATTTGCCATTCTGTTCTTGTGAAAGTACTGCTCCAATGGTGCCTTCACTGGAGTCAGCTTCCACCCTGAATTTTCCATTCTGGCTTGGTATGGCTAAAATGATATTTTCAGCCAATCAGCATTTGAGATCGTCAAATGCCACCTATTGAGAAATTCTCCAGGTCCATAGAGAATTCTCAGTTGATTGCATCATGGGTCAGACTATTTTGCTATAGTGCCAGATGAACTGTCAATAGAAGTTGGTGAATCCAAGGAATGATTGCAGTTTCTTCTTCATCATCAGCTTTGGCCACTCAGTTACTTCTGTCACCTTGACAGGGTCCATTCTGATGCTTCCTTCACTGATAATGACTTCAAAGTACTCAGTCTCGAGTACCTCAAATTCACACTTCTCAGCCTTAAGGAAAAGTCAGTGTTTCCTCATCAAGACTAGCACTCATCGTACTAACTGTCTGTGTTCCTCCTTGGTTTTAGATATAATGAGAATGTCATCCAAGTAAATCATAACCTTTTCAGTTGCAATGAGATCTTTGAAGATATCATTCATCATCTATTGGAATGTTGCAGGCAAATTCATGAGTCTGAAGAATATAACTACTGGTTTGAACAACCTATAGTTTGTCTAGAAAGTGGCCTTCTATTTGTCACCTTCTTTGATGTGCACATTGTTGTATCCCCACTGAACATCCAGTTTGGTATAATACTTGGCATCTCAGAGTTTGTCCATCAACTCCGAAATTAAAGGAAGCAGATAGTGATTTTTGATCATCATCTTATTGAGCTTCTGATAATCCTGTACTGGTCAGAGTTTGCCATCCTTCTTTTTGACAAAGAAAAAGAGAGATGCTATTGGTGATTTCAATGGTCGAATCCTTCCACTGGATAAGTTCTCTTTGAGAAACTTGTCCAACTTCTGTTGTTCATTATTATCTAGTGGATATGTTTTGCAATCAAGGTTTGCATTAGCATTGGGGATGAGTTCAATGGCATGGTCCCAAGGTTTGGAATTGGGTAGTTCATTGAAACTTTCCTTCTCAAATAGGTCTCAAAAATCCCATGCCCATTTGGGTACTATTTCTTCAAATGTCTTTTCTTCTTTTTCTGCATTGGCTTTCACTGCTAAGTTATTGGTGTGATGTATGGCATGAATCTCAATGGCCTTTTGCAGGTCCACAGTGAGGATCATTTCTCCATCTTCCATTTTCTGGTCCCATTGGTCTTCAGGATCTGCATCTGGTAATTCAAATGCAATTTTCTGGCATCAACAGCATGCAAATATAATATGCCCAGTTTTCCAATTAATCAGCAGATTATGTCGAATTAACCAATCATGACTAAGGAAAATTTCCTTGGTTCCTAGATCAGTTACTACCAGATCAATTTGTTTGGAATAGTCTCTGATGGTGAGCCT